TATATTACAGAAACAATAACTAATAATGCGTGAATGGAGTAGAATAGAATAGAATAGAATAGAATAGAATAGAATAGACTTTATTGATCTCACGGGGGGAAATTAACTTGTTAAAGCAGCAACGACGCTTAACAGAATAGTTTGAAGGGAAATAATAACAAAGGTACATGTACACATAGGCAGTAAGACATTATTGTCACCTTTACCACTAAAAACCACAAATAAAATGAAAAACTTGAAAAATGAATAACAAAAGAGCAGACTAATCTGAATGCTTTATGCTATTAAATGTCATTGATGTTCAGTATTCAAGTTTCAGAGTTTAAGCTGAAGGGTCAGATTTCTCATTTTATAAAGACCACAAAAAATCTAACCCTTGTATTTAATTTCACAATAAATGAATGGATTCTGAGTTCTAACAACACATGAAGAGATTCTGATTTTTTTCCCCTTTCTGCAGCTTTTATGAGTCTTTCCTCTGAGTTTATTATTTGCCATGAGGCAGGACTGGAACAAAAGAATTGCTAGAAATTTTCTATACTTATGGAAAAACAAATCTATATGAACCAAGATTGTATCTTTCTCTCTGACGGAATCTTTAAAAGCTAAGATGTTCTACTCCAAAGAAGAAGCTTGAATTTAGCTGGTTTTCAGAGAGCCTAAAGTGCATGAACATGCATGCTGAGCAGATTAAGTCACTCAAAAAGAACAGCTTAAAAGCATGAAATTTCAGCAAGCAGAGCTAGAGAGCCTGCATCCACAGAAACATCCCAACATGCCACTATATTTACACAAATCCAAATATTAGATGAAAAAAGTTTCTTGGTTTACACAAACACAACACAATCACGTAAACACCTGTGTTAGTAGACAAAAGACGAATGACGTTTGCACAATGATCACACTGAGATCTAGGGGCAATCACCCACATGAAAGAAAGACTGTCCTAAAGGCTGCCATTTCTGGCTGTCATTCCAGCTGAGCACTGGAGCAAAAGCACAGAAAGCGAGAGACAGTAGAGTAGAAAGGATGGTGAGGGGTGGGGAAACAATGAAGGCTCACAGAGAGACAGGAAGCAGACGGCGTAAATGAAGCTGAGGACTTTAATGAACTGCTGCAGTCAAGGCTGGCAGGGAACAAGGAACGAATATCAGGCAGAGGCTTAATTATCAGTTTCTTAAAGGGCACACACACATGCACACACACACAAAAAGCTAGATTATTGACACGTTTTTTTATTTATGATTTTAGACGATGTCTTATAATTTTGTACAGTGATTAAGCAATAAAGACTGAGTATATATGTGAATATATATATATACATACACTCACCTAAAGGACTATTAGGAACACCATACCCCCTTTCACCTTCAGAACTAAGTTAATTCTATGTGGCATTGATTCAACAAGGTGCTGAAAGCGTTCTTTAGAAATGTTGGTCCATATTGATAGGATAGCATCTTGCAGTTGATGGAGATTTGTGGGATGAACATCCAGGGCACGAAGCTCCCGTTTCATAACATCCCAAAGTTGCTCTATCGGGTTGAGATCTGGTGACTGTGGTGACCATAGTAGTACAGTGAACTCATTGTCATGTTCAAGAAACCAATTTGAAATTATTGGAGCTTTACGTCATGGTGCATTATCCTGCTGGAAGTAGTCATCAGAGGATGGGTACATGGTGGTCATGAAGGTATGGACATGGTCAGAAACAATGCTCAGGTAGCCTGTGGCATTTAAACAATGCCCAATTGGCACTAAGGGGCCTAAAGTGTGCCAAGAAGACATCCCCCACACCATTACACCACCACCACAACCAGCCTGCACAGTGGTAACAAGGCTTGATGGATCCATGTTCTCATTCTGTTTATGCCAAATTCTGACTCTACCATTTGAATGTCTCAACAGAAATCGAGACTCATCAGACCTGGCAACATTTTTCCAGTCTTCAACTGTCCAATTTTGGTTAGCTTGTGCAAATTCTAGCCTCTTTTTCCTATTTGTAGTGGAGATGAGTGGTACTCGGTGGGGTCTTCTGCTGTTGTAGCCCAATCGCCTCAAGGTTGTGCGTGTTGTGGCTTCACAAATGCTTTGCTGCATTCCTCGGTTGTAACGAGTGGTTATTTCAGTAAAAGTTGGTCTTCTATCAGCTTGAATCAGTCGGCCCATTCTCCTCTGACCTCTAGCATCAACAAGGCATTTTCACCCACAGGACTGCTGCATACTAGATGTTTTTCTCTTTTCACACCATTCTATGTAAACCCTAGAAATGGTTGTGGGTGAAAATCCCAGTAACTGAGCAGATTGTGAAATACTCAGACCGGTCCGTCTGGCACCAACAACCATGCCATGCTCAAAACTGCTTAAATCACCTTTCTTTCCAATTCTGACATTCAGTTTGGAGTTCAGGAGATTGTCTTGACCAGGACCACACCCCTAAATGCATTGAAGCAACTGCCATGTGATTGGTTGATTAGATAATTGCATTAAGGAGGAATTGAACAGGTGCTTCTAATAATCCTTTAGGTGAGTGTATTTATAAATATAAATACACATATATATATATATATATATATATATATATATATATATATATATATATATATATATACATACACACATATATATATTGGGGTGGGCATAGATACATTTTTTAATCTAGATGAATCTCACTGTAATCTTGGAATTAATCTAGATTAAAATGGTTCAACTGAACTCTGCCAAAGGCATTCATAGTATGTGTGTGCTACCTAGGGGCTGCATGACTTAATTTTTTTTTAAAGTCGACAGTCAAGTAATGAAAATCGAGTCGAATTTGACTAGTCGTTGATGACGTCATACACCTGAAGCGGGTTGGTTCGCTGGAGTATCTGACAATTAAAATTGCGCCCACATTTTCTAAGTTAAACACATCTCTTTTAACAACGGTAGTTTCTGCATTTTTACTGTTCCCTGCTTCAGCTCCCCCCCCCCTCCCCCGCCCAGCGGCTGCAAACTCACTGATGCGCCTGCAGCCTCAGAGTTCCTGCTGATCTAAAATTTAAAATAATTATTTCATTTTCTGTTCCTCACTTCTGATTACCTTCAATGGTGTCTGTTTGTTGCAACCACCAGGTACAAAAACTAACTTGTTTTTATTTGACTATTTTTCTGTCCTGTCTGTTTATTATCTTCCTGCATCTCCTCTCAATCCTAAAGAAAAACTGCTACCTGGCTTCATATATATTCACCTTATGAGTTACCTTTGAACTGCAGTTCTAAAAGATCTACCGACCGCAAAAACAACGGAGTGCGCGCCGGCTGCACCGATGACATAGTCACCGGAGGACAAAACAGGTGATGCGCTCCGCTTCACAGCAGCGAAAAGCATCAGGCACAAATAAAAGAATAAAAGACAGAAAACATAAAAGGAAATGAGCCGACATGAATGATCGCGTGTTAATTTAGTTTTTGAGGTGGCGACACCTGATTAGATAATGTTACTGTGGCCGTGCTCAGGATGCAGATGTCTGGAGCGCGTCAACGATTAGAGCTTTGCATGCGCAAGCTGGTTAAGGTTAGGATGGGGGTGAGGGGAAGGTTACATTGCAAGGGGGTAAAGGTCACAATTCGGTCAAATGTCCGTTTTACCGCGGGCGTCAGATACCAACGCTCTGGCACAGGGGCTCGTCTTTTCCGAGGACTGCATCTTGTCGGTCATTATCACGTGACAGCGACTAGTCTATGAAAGACATAAAAAGTCACTACAGAGCAGTGAAGTCAACTAGTCGACTAGTTGATACAACCCCTTAGTGCTACCTAAATAATGACTAAAAGGAAGTCTTTGAGTACAGGTTTCCCCAAGCCAGGTGCCGCATTTAACCAAGGGCTTATCTCCTGTTTTCAAACTGCCTCATAACCTGACAAATCTATAAATAAAAATACTTCTAAAAACTATATAATGTTATTTAAGTAATGTTTATTGCCTTGGCCCCCAAAATGCCTTGATACGGCCCAGGGTGTGGGACTGAGTTTTGAAAATGAAAATGTAAATATTACATGCTTATAAATGATTGCTTTATAAATGTAAAACATGTACTGGGATAAATCTACCTACCTTTTCCTTTTCAAGCAATTTGTTTTGTTTTCCTGTCCTCTCTATTCTCTGATCGTTCATCTCCTTTTAGTCCTGCAGAAAAACTGTTGCCTTGCTTCCTACTTTTTCACCTCATGAGCAGATCAAAGGCATCTACCCACCGCAAAACAGTGGAGTGCGCGCATGGCTGCGCTAGTGAGGTGAAGTCACGAACACGGGTGATGAGTTCTGCTGCAGCGGAGCACGTCAGCCGCGAATAACAGAAAGAAAGTACTAGAGAGAATATGAGCGGACATGAACGATCATGTGTTAATTATAATTTTTTGGTGGCACCACTTTGAAAATGTTACTTTGGCCATGCGCAGGTCTGGAGCGCATTGCCGCATCACCACATCATCGCTCTGCGCCCTCTTCATTCAAAATCCACTAGCCCACTTTTCATCAGGGCGCTTTGTTGCCCACGCACCTGACGCAGACCTTGTTTGGCCGCGCAACGTCTGAGCCGGCATCGGTAGCTCTCATCACGGTGAGGTAGGCAAATAGCACCAAGTGTCTTCCCTAAGGCCCCACACTGGATGTTGATATTTTTTGCCCCAACCCAGGGTTGAACCTGGGTCCCCTGCTTGTAAGGCTTTTCTAGTTGAGCTATCTAGCCGCTGAAAAATTATGAACAGTTGAGGTTTACCAATTTGGAATGTTTTTGACAACTTTCCTTTTAGTCTACAAGCAACAATCATGTATTATTTTTGTAGAAATGTGATCATACTAAAGTGTCAGATTTTATATCAGGAGGAGTTACTATGAATCACACAGACCTAACAAATATCTTAAAATGGTGCGGATATAACCTTCTCATTGATCAATTCATTTTACAGACACTTGCCTTGTTTATATTATATTTATATTTAACGGAAATGATTCTTACATGTAGGACACGTCCAACGGGTGAAAGAAACGTCTAGAGATGAGATCCGAAAAGAAGGCCTCTGTTTCACGACAAGCAGTCCCATTTCCAATGACAACCTTGGAACAGCTAGACGGAACAAGAAAGAAAGACAGCAATTAAAACATGTATAAATGATCAGGGTTTATTTTTTCTTGTTAATAATATCAGGTTCTGTGACCTTTTAATTTTAGGATAATTTCCTTCATTATTAAGCAGTAGTACCTATATTGGATCATGAGGTGGCGCAATTTCTCTGCTTCTCTGTGCTGCTGTCCTGAGTTATGCAAGTACACAACATCAGTATGAAGAATCTGACCTGGAAAAAAAGAGAGGATATATCAGCCCGATACGTTCATATATGCATCTCTCATAGTTGTGTGTATCTAAACGTGTAAACATGATCTGTGGTCACACATCATGAAGTAGGTGTGCAGTGTGAAACTGCGCCAAGACATGCCAAAACATACAATAGGCATAAGAAGCACACGCGCACATACAAACACCCTGGTCACACCAGCTACTGAACGAGGATCAGACCTGGACCAGACTTTTCATTACTGAGCAACGGCGGCCCCTAAATCTGACCCTGGTTGACTTACCCACCCCCCAGCCTATTATGACAACACTACAGACCTAGAACATCCAAGAGGTTCAGGTTTGAAATAGTATGACTCAATAATAGTTATCAAAACGTAACCAAGTACTTTTTCTTTGCCATGTTTGCTTCTTTAAGATGGCAAGTGTGAAGAAGTGCAGAGGTCAAGAGCTTCATTACAAAATAAATAGGAATACGTGACATAGCAGCACACAAGCAGATACTTTTTAAAGAGCAAAGTCCATGTTATTTAAAAGGACTGCAGTGTTTAGACTTGATAGTCATAAAGTATTGTTTTACTAAACTTTCTGAATTCTGTTAAAGCTTTCAGGGCATTTTGGGATTTCTTGTATAAATGAGACAAATGGGATTAGCATTACGAATGCCAGTGTTGATTTACTGAAAAAGCACAACAAGATTTGACTGTGCTTTACAGAACCAAAGTGAAACTGTAAGAAAAAGTATTAAAACTGCATGTATACATAAAAGAACAAAAAAATTTAAAAAAATGACAGAATACATGAAAAGACCACAAGCTTTGATTGGGTCTCACATGCAGCCGTGAGCAAACGCTAAGGTGTAAAGGTGGGATTATATTTTGGAAGGATTCAACTAAGTCAGCGGTCCATTATCGACCCTTTGCACATGCCACCACGCTGTTCATGGGAATGCCTCTTTAGTCAAGATGAATATCAAAGGAACTTTTCACCTACATTATAACCGCAGTTAAGCTCATCCTAAACAAGCCCGTTTGTAGCCTTATTTGGTTGATTTCACAGTAAAATTGTTATAAATTGCAGCACTGTTGGCTGCACTAACAGACAAGAGTGTAAACCCAACTTGTTGTTTTATCGTATACTTTGGACAGGGTATCTGCAGGTTTAAGGGAGCCAAATTTAAGACTTTTTTAAGGCCACTTTGACCAAATTTAAGCTAATTTTTTTAAATTAAATTTCTGCTATAATTTCCAGCTATTGCCTGGAACCGGTGCCAACCACGTAGCGAATGTAGGATTAGCCATCCATTTACCATTAAACTTGCACTTCCCCGTGGCGCAAGCTCCCACTAGCTTAACCAGCTAATGTGCTCATCTAAAAAAAAAAAACTTTCACAACCAACTGAATGTGTACGGTTCCGTTTTTGCCAATTACATACACAAAAAATGCTGAACACCAACTAGAAATTCAAAAAAAATTCATAGAAATAAAATAATCTAGTTTATTGGGTTTTTGGTAATTTAAGACCTTTGGAAACTGTATTTAAGGATTATTTGTCATTTTTAAGGATTTTCAAGGCCTTAAATTTGGAACAGTAAATTTAAGACTTTTTAAGACTTTTCAAGGACTCGCGGATACCCTGTTGGATTGAGTCATCGGATGGCCATGGACAGCCAATATCAAAAGGACTAGTAGCCCTTAAAAGTATTCCCAGATTTGCAGTGAAAAGTTTCACAGGTTGAGATTCATCTTCATATATTTCAGGAGGAAGGACTGACCTGATATGACAAATAGGATACTTTACTACTGATAATCTTATATTTACTTAAAGTGGACGTGCGTTTTGTGAATTAATAGATGCTAAAACAATTGTTCCAGTGAAGGACAGTGACTTGATGCAGTTTGCTGGGTTCCTTATATAGGAAACATTTTTTCTGATTGGCTTAATGAACTGACCTGCATTGGAATGTTTATTATGTGAAGTGCCTTAAGATGACTCTTGTCGTGATTTGGGGCTATGTAAATAAAACTGAATTGAATTGAAGGGCAACGTATGTTAAGATTCATTAGATAAGAGTCATTTAGCAACATGATTAGCTTTGCCATTATGGCAATGGTGGCAGAGAAGTTAAGTGACCACCTCATAACCAGAGGGTTGCAGGTTCAGTCCCAATCTGTTGTAGTTGATGTGTCCTTGGGCAAGACCCTGAACCCACCTTGCCTGATGGTGGTGGTCAGAGGGACCAGTGGCACCAGTGTTCAGTAGCCTCACTTCTGTCAGTGCATCCCAGGACAGCTGTGGCAACAATACAGCTCATCACCACCAGCTTAGGAATGTGTGTGTGAATGACTGTATTGTAAAGCACCTTGGGGGGTTGTAGAACCATAGAAGGTGCTATATCAAACACAGGCTATTACCATTTCTATGAGCCCCGCCAAGGTGTGCTTGTTCTTCTGAAATTGAAAAAATTGTCTGTGTTTGATATAACAGATGGTAGTCCTAGAACCCCCTAAGGCTCTTCACAACACAATCAGTTATTCATCCTTGGACACACACATTCACTCCCAGGTGGTGCCGAGTTACAATGTAGCCATAGCTGCCCTGGGGCACACTGATGGAAACCATGTTAAACTGGCAAAGAAAGACTCAGTCGCTAATAGTGTCTGTTCAATACTCCCATAACTCACTGTTGACATCCACCATGGTGCACTCGTGACAGTTTCAGTGTAAAACCTACTGTCATTTTCTAAATAAAAGACTATTGCAGCGATGCAATTTTATATTTATGTGGATTGCATCAATACAAGTGACCTAAAGACTTATTTACTCCAAGTATTGTTCCAGAAGTGCAGCGGCGTGTTTTTCATGGCTTTAATCCTGGCCGTGGAGAGGAAGAACATCATATATGACATCAAACAGCGATATCAAAAGTGATTTCCTTCTATTTTGTTTAATGGTGCCTGGCATAACAAACTGTGACCTTGAAGTCTTGAGGGATTTTGTGATCTTGTGAGTCCAGCGAGGAGGACTGTAGAGAAGCCGCTCAGTGGCTGAGATTCTCCCTGTGTGTACTGGCAAGCAGCGAAACATGCAGGTTCTGCTGCTGTTCTGCGCCGCTGAGGTTACCAGTGTGATACCCAAAGTGATTTACCCAAAGACACAACGACTGTGACAGACTATGCGGGACTTAATCTTGCAACCCTTTGGATACAAGTGCAATAGGAAAGGTGAGTCATACCATTCCATTTTTTTCCTCAGTGGAATCGTTTCCTGAATTAATTCTATCTATGCTGTGGTGTCTATCTACCTATTATTCAAGATTAATATCTACAGGTGATAAAATGAACACTAAACGTATTGTGGTACTTACTTGTGGGGGAGAGGATAGCCAGCTTGCAGCCATGTCTATAGCCAGGGTCCACCCCCATGATGACACAGCCTCTCACCGGACACACCAATAAACGCTGGCGGAGGTTTCGCACAAACATGGCAATCGACTCCTTCTCTGCTGCACTCGTTAGCTTAGTCCTAATGAGAGGGATGCCAGAGAGAATGAGGAGACAACAAAGTAACCAAAAGGTGAAGGGGTATACAGAAGTTAGCTTGACTGACGGTAGGAAAATATTGGGAAAGTGAAGCAGCAGTAGTGTATAAGTTAATAATTTTAGATAAAACACAACCTAAAGCAAAATAAAATAATGATTAAAATACCTGCAGCTCCTAGTCAGGAAAGGCACAATAAGCCTTTTATAGGAGTCTTCTACTGCATTGCTGATGATTGCTCTGAGTTCTTCTTTTGCAAATGTCTTTGGCCTCCACCTGCATTCAAACGGGGGAATATTAAGCTGTTGTTTGTTTCTGGTGACCGTTTCATTCACGAGTGCAAGTGTTCATTCTTCTCTACATAAGAGAGGGACGATGGCGGCACAAGAGTTAAGCGTTCACCCCGTAATCGGAAGGTTGCAGGTTCGAGCCCCGTTCAGTCTGTCGCTGTCGTCGTGTCCTTGGGCAAGACACTTAACCCACCTTGCCTGCTGGTGGCGCCTGTGTGCTGCAGACTCGCCTCTGTCAGTGTGTCCCAGGGCAGCTGTGGCTACAATGTAGCTCATCACCATCAGTGTGTGAATGTGTGTGTGAACGGGTGAATGTGTTGTAAAGTGCCTTGGGGGGTTTCAGGACTCTAGAAGGTGCTACATCAAATACAGACCATTTATCATTTACATAATATGCAGCTCACTCCACTTAAAATCTGCAAAAATAAAAAACTACTCAAGATAACTCAAAAACAGTGTGTGCGTGTGTGTGTGTGTGTGTGTGTGTGTGCGTGCGTGCGTGCGTGCGTGCGTGCGTGCGTGCGTGCGTTATTGCGTTTCTGACCTGTTGTTGATGCACCACAAAGTGAAGTCACTCCTCACCCTGTCAGGAATGTTCACCTTCACAGTCAAGATCTTCAGACTCTCTCCTCGGTTGATGGCCAGTGTCTGTACAGTTTTCAAACAGGTACAAGACATACTTTTATGTCAAATCAGCACCAAAGATTGAGTTTGTTATTTATCAGTAAATACGTTGATATAGTTTTATACTTGGCAGGTCATTCACAAGCTAAATGGGTTGTTTTAGTGTTTTAAAAAGCAGAGAAGGTTATTTTTTCCAATATGTGTTTATTTTTGCAAACATCTCAGCTGAAATAGCTGAAAAACAACACCATCAAGTACACGCAAGCATCAAATTTCCATGTGATTTCTGTTTTCATTTTCGGGACTCTGATTCCACTCAGCTGCACGGTTTAATTGCAAGAAAATAAGAAGTAAATATTCTAAGAAAAATCCCAAGTGTGTCATCTGAATAAATCACCCAACTCGACACACGTGCATGCCAAAGTGATAAGCCTAGGAGAGTGTCCCGTGGCCAGGCTTGTTGTGTTGTGGTTCCCCCTCAGCGAACTGTTACATGCTGTTAAGCAAACAGCAGTAAGTGTCTGACCTTTTCAGTCGGGAACCTTTAGCCCGCCACAGAACAGAGCCAAGAAGCAAGACGTCAATCTGGAGCCCAAGCGGAAGAAGCAAGTTGACAAATGCCACCACTATGCCACCATCAGCTCCGAGACCGCGAGGCCTACCCCCACCTACTCCCACACGTTGTGCCACAACCATTACCACTCAGCAGCACCCTTTAGATGTAGCAATGCACGCACAAATAAAATATTAAAGAAAAAAAAACAGCTAATGGCGTAAGCAGGGGTTGGGATTAATGCAGTGAGTTTGCTTGAATAATGATGAAAGCTAAGATTTCTCCTCTGGTGGCATCATTCTGCCTCGGGCTCCTTCACTGACTGTGATGAGATTTTTTGAAACAATCTTCATCAAAGTAACAAAAGTTCAACTTCTTGTCAAGGGAAGGAAAAAACTTCTTTCTGAGCAAAGTTGTGTGAACAACACCGGTCTTGGTAAATATCCGTTCCCTAGATTGATTGTTATTTTTGTCCTATAATAAAGAACAAATTGTCTTTAACATACATTTAAATTGAGAACAGCGTTAGTAACTAAGCATGTCACACCTCTTACTGTTATGGAATTTCACAAATATTTCTTTAGCCTGGTTGCCCGACCCTTAAACAGAGGAGTTTGTGTTTGCGTCGTGGTCCCAGCATCACGGAAGCGTTTCTAGTGACGATAAACAAGCTAGCAACCATCTCTGTTTCTGTGTGGGTCGGGTCACGAGTGAGAGATGGCGTGATCTGACCGAGGGATAAGAAACAGAGTGAGACGTACATTTGTGTGTTAAACATGTCAGTAGTGACAGGTAGCCAAGTGCCAGCCAAACCCTGACAAGACAAGAAGGGCAATCTTTCCTCGATGCCCCTTAATCCTTTCAACAGCCCCAAAGCGAGGGCAGTCAGCCAACAGCTATCCTCTATCTGTCTCCTCCTCTTTCTCATCTGTTCTGTAGAGGTATACTGTCATCAACACTTCTATTCATCCACCACATCAAGGATAAACACACACACACACACATTATAACACAGACCATTTGGACACTTCGACTTTGCTGACACAAAACTGGAAGCAGTTGCTTTTTTTAAGTTTTGTGTTACACTTACAGCTTTGTTTCCATTTTATATTGACCTCAGAGGCAGAGTTTAAATAATAATAATAATGCATTGAACTTATATAGCGCTTTTCAAGACCCCCAAAGACGCTTTCACACACTCTCACATTCACACATTGTTAGTGATGGTAAGCTACTTGTAGCCACAGCCGCCCTGGGGCGGTCTGACAGAGGCGAGGCTGCTATTTGGCGCCGTCGGCCCCTCTGACCACCACTAACACAGGCAAGTTGGGTGAAGTGTCTTGCCCAAGGACACAACAGCAGGATACCCCTGGTGGGAGCTGGAATCGAGCCCATGACCCTCCGACCATGAGGCAACCCGCTCTACCACCTGAGCTACTGCTGCCCCAAAAATGTTCCACCGTTCTAAATGTCAGAACGGTGGAATTCCTTTACCCTGAATGGATCACCACTCATTTTTACTGTCAGTAAACTTGCACAAGAGGTTCCACTTACGGTACTAGTACTCAACATAGCTATAAAAACACTGCCCTTTATCATTTTTATCCTCATTCCATTAATTACATGCAAATCTGTTGAGCAGTGGCTAAAGTGACTAAAGTCATCAATTGCATTGGGCTTGGGAACGAACTCACGCACCTTGACGTCACTTGACCATGAAGCAGACAATCCATGTATTTGGAGATCGTTTTGGGAGGCCACTATACCTAAAACGAGGCGCAAACCGGAAAAGGTTCTGCAGCTCACACTTCCACAACGGATTGTGAAAGAACGGAAAAGACTAGAAACACTCAGATTTTTCCTGATGCAAGAAGGGAGTCTACTTATCCTTTTGATAGTTTTGGTGTTTACATGGTCATAGAGCACTTTATATATATATTCTGTGACACTTAAAAAAAACAGTAAAAATGCACAAAAATGCTGTTCAGAATGAGTTAATAATAAAATGCTCTATTTCCTATGGGCTTTGCCGTTTAAGGCCAATGCTGATTGGTGTCATTTCTCAGATAAGCCGGCCAATCGTGAGAAATAACCCAATCAGCATTTCTCAAAGGGCTACGCCTATACTCAGAATCTGGGGTTAAAATACGTAATCTTCGTTCTACTTCATATAGGCTTCACCCTTCAAGCAACGCCAATTGGTTTACTTCTCCATGATTGGCCGGCTTATCTGAGAAATAACCCCAATCATCATTAATCATTAATCATCATTAATCTTAAAGGCATTCCAGGGTGGCCTTTTATTGTGGGCAGTATAAGGTACACCTGTGCACTACTCATGATGTCAAATCAGCATCTTGATGTAGCACACCAGTGAGGTGGGATGGATTATCTCAGCAAAGCACAGGTGCTCACTATCACACATTTAGACTGATTTGTGAACAATGTTTGAGAGAAATGGTAATATTATGTATCTGGAATTAATTTTAGATCTTTAAGTCCGTCTCATGAAAAATCAAAGCAGAAACAAAGGTACTGCATTTATATTTTTGTTGAGTGTACATTAGCATCTTATAATAATCATATATCTCGAAAACCAAAGCAGCACAAACGACCGTTTAAACGGCACAAATGAGCACAAACGTATCACTAAAAACGTAGATTGGTCCGGTTCATTTTGGACCTACCTGGGGGGGTGGTGACCCCTCACCTACTTCATGTAGATGAGGTTATGACCTGCGAACCTCTTCCGATCGAGGGTGGCTAGTGACGTCATCGTCCCAAAATAAAACTATTAATATCTCGAAAACCAAAGCAGCACAAACGACCGTTTTAACGGCACACATGAGCAAAAACGTAGCACTAAAAACGTTGATTGGTCCGGTTCATTTTGGACATAGCTGGGGGGATGGTGACCCCTGGATGACCTATAAAAATAATGTTGAATATTTTATAAACCATAGCAGCACAAATGTAGCACTAACCACTCCACCTATTTGCGTGGATTTCTGATGTGGGTGGGGTTACAGCTTTATCTATGTCCCGCCCGCTCTCACGGAGGAGCGATGCGGGATAGAGCATGCTTAAGCTCAACATTCACGAATTACAATAACACTTAAAAACAGGAAAAATAAATTACGTCATAGCATCAAAACATGAAAAGCTACTACGCTAATGAGGATGAACTCTACAGGAAGGGGTTTCTAGGGCCGCTTAAATGTGGGCAACGGTGGCACAGGAGTAGAGCTCGCCCCGTAATTGGAAGGTTGCAGGTTCGAGCCCTGCTCAGTTTGTCACGGTCATTGTGTCCTTGGGAAAGACACTTAACCCCCCTTGCCTGCTGATGGTGGTCAGAGGGACCAGTGGCACCAGTGCTCTGCAGCATCGCCTCTGTCAGTGAGCCCCAGGGCAGCCATAGCTACATTGCAGCTCATCCCCACCAGCATGTGAATGTGTGTGTGAATGGGTTAATGACTGATCGTGTTGTAAAGAGCCTTGGGGGTTCCAGGACTCTATAGGGCGCTATATCAAATACAGGCCATTTACCATTTACAGGCCATTTTTATCTCACAGAAAACTCTGACGTCAAACATTGACACATTTTACACGCCGACTTTCATTTACTGTAACTCTGCAATGATTTGAGCCATCAGAAACTTTCAAATGGTTTTTGACAGAAGAGAAGTTGTGCTGTGAAGTCTGCATATTGTCATCACAGCGATTTCCTTTCCACTGTTACAGAAAGTCGGCTAATCAGCGTCTCTCTCGCTCCCTCTAACAGACACTAGTGGTGCAGTGAGGAGAAGAAAATGAGCGACAGACAGGAGAAACAGAAAACGCTGTCTAAAGACGACCACAGCCATAAATAACATCAACCGTTGCAGCGCTACAAAAAATATTAACTTGGAAAAGTGTACTTTGTTTTTCAAGGCTTTTTGCTAAATAGGCATAAAACAATACTATTTCAGTATCTATAGGCAACAAACAGCTACCTAACTATTTACTTTTATAAAAACAAACACAACACATTTAACTACTATTAAATTGTTGTCCCTCCATCAAACCGGTCCGTTTAATTGATGAAACAGTTCTGTTCAGTCAAGTTCCTCTACAGGCAAGCCCAGGACTGCAGTGCTAACCTTCCATTTGATCACCATGTAAATCGCATTAAAAATAACCCGCTGTCACGTTAAACAAATCCACTCTGGCACACTCCAGAGCGTACCGGCTTAATGGCTAAAAGGTAAATGTGTACCCTTCAACAGAAGACTCGTATCAAGTCCGACGGGATTAAATCTGCACTAAGCAGGACGCTCTCAGACACGTTGAACGTCAGAACCTCAGATGAGTTTATAAAAGTGTTGTATTTTACAAAGGGCACAGTGAAGAACATGATGCTTTTTACTCCTAACTCTGTATGGAAGAAAATACTACTTTAGGGCTTAAGTGGCTGGTCAAATAATCGAATACCTGATTGATTAAAAAATAAATGCATTCTCTAAACCATTTTGTCTTTGGGGGGCCTCCCAGGCTTTCAGATTCCACTGTTTAAATGTTGTTTCTTTCAGCTTCTATCATTTTGTGAAATTACTGTAAAATTACCCAAAACAAATGAGCAGAACTAAACTGAGGACTGAAAATCATGCATTTTATGCTCAATGCGCAGCGCAAAAATCATCAACTCAGAAATAACTGAAAGATTACCCAAGAAATTGGGAAAGAAATGCAATTTCTTCTAAATCGTGAAAATAAAGGACACCAAAAATATTGTTTTTGTTTTAATGTATTATCTTCAAACTAGAGGTTGACCGATATTGCTTTTGCTATTGGCGATGCCAATACCGATGCTGATATGCAGAGATCATGGTCAGCTTATAGCCAATTTTCATGGCTGAAATATAGAAGTTTTCCACCTAATGTGAAAATGTCACTGATAACATCAGTTGATGCATGAAATTTAAACAGCTTTTGAAGACAGAACTTAATCAGCTGCTTAATCTTAAATCTGTGCACAGCTCAGGGAAAAAATCAGACATTTAACTAATGTTAATGTGACAAATCAATAACTGACCAAGTATTAAATATTCAAAATTGTTAAAAAATAAAAATAAATAAACAAATAAATAAATATAAATGTTTGTGAAAATAATTTTTATAGCATTTATTACACATCAGGGATGTGCCTGATTTTAAATCTGCTTTACTAAGGAGGTATGTCGTCCAATGGTGATATATAAAAATTGGTAAATATCGGGCCGATATATCAGACAATCGCTATTTCGGCCAAACAATATATCAATATATCAGTTTACCCCTACTCCCAAACCATTAAATATTTATTTGTGAGTAGTGGTGTCGTTTTATCTATTATTTGGGTGGGCTAATTAGCAGTTCTCTTAGAAAATACTCCCCTTGGCTTCTCCTTTTCTTAAAAAACAGAGTTGAGGCTTAATAAAATGTGTTAAAGCACACAAGCTAGTGTGTACTCACACACATGCCTTCTGTCACAACACATCTCCCACCTGCCTCCTCCCCCTGACAACTTCATGGCTAGAAAAGGTTCATTTTAGCCTGAATCTGACAGCTAGCAGGGTCACAGCAGCCTGTGGATTAACGCTCCATGACAAAGGCGAGTCATCAAATTAAATGTCTTGCAAACACAGAGAGGAGCACAAGGGGAAAAACGGGGGTGAGGAGTGGATTGGAGGGATGAGGTTTAGTCAGAGAAAGGCGGAATAAGGCAGATCAGAGGACAGCAAGAGAGATAAGTGACGGCCACACCTCAACGCCGCTTTTCTGTTAATGTGCTCCCTCCCTTACAGCCCCCCACTCCCTCTCCCCATCCCTTTGTCCGCCTGTGGGCCCAGCAGCAGTTGCTGTCACTACACGAGACCGCCTGTCAATCAAAGCGTCCTAATCCAATGGCATGTCGGCAGGGGACATGTCACATATGTTAAGAAGAGAGAACGAGGGGACTTGCAGGCTGCGGTTGTGTGTGAGCAAGTGTGCATATGTCTGTGCGTATGTGATTAAATGACTGTAGGGCAGAGCGTGGTTGCCAGAGAGTGTGGTGTGGCAGAGACAGCGAGTGATGGGAGCTGTGGTGACACATGAGGCCCGGGACCAGCTCTGAGTAACCCACCAGTCACTGAAGAAGCACAGGGGGAGAAGAAGAGGCAGAGCTGGGCACAGGAGGGGGGGATACGAAGGCACAGACAAGGCTAACTGCGACTGACGTGGGTAGCATTCACGACCGACAGACAAACATGACACATACGCAAACGGATGTGGCATGTGTGCCGGGGAAGTTTGTGCAACTAAAAGATAAAAACTTCAACCTGTCCTGCATTTGTGAGAAGAATAGGTTTACCTGATGTGACTGGATGCGCTTGATGTTGCAAGTGAAGTCGAAATAGAGGTGGAACTTGTCCAAGTCCTTGTTTTTGTTTTGCTCGTCTCCTGGTTTTTTGCAGCCTTGGTCAGATTTCCCTTGTTCTTTTTTGTTTAACGCCGATTTTGACACAGAGGACTGGATCGTCACACAGCTCCTATCCCATCTGACAGTGACAAAAGCAAAGACATGGTAGAGCGCAAGAGTTTTCTTTTGGAGCAGCAAACAAACATCAATAATAATCCAAAAACAAATGTAAACACAAGGATAAATTCTTACAACGTCTTAATGTAGGTGAGAGTGTCTGAGTCTTTAGCGATCATGTCTGCCAAAATGTGCACCACACCTGTGGACACGTCCTCTACTGATGACAGACCTGCAACACAAACACAGTCCCACATTAAGAATGACACATTTTAGGAATTTGAATAGGCGTGTACTAACCAATTCAATTCAATTCAAAGATACTTTATTAATCCCAGAGGGAAATTAGAGTTTCAGTACACACAATTCTGAGATCAGACATACATAGGCAAAGACATATGACAAGAATTGGTGACTGTGGTCATTCGCAACCCGAGTCACGCTACCTTCAAAGAGATCAGAGGGTTTATATATGAGGATTGGGTCAGGTGGAGGAAAAAAAGGCACTTCAGAGTTACCCTCCACAGGGAGGGCAGCTTTGCTATGCAAAAAACACCTCAGACAGAAATGCAACAGACTTCAGACATCACACAACATAAGTGTTCACTAGGTGGGGAGGTAGGGTTGGGACTCTCCACACGTCAGTGAATGCAGCCACGATAAGCAGTGCTCGTCACCTCTGTTTGGGCGGAGGGGCTGGGTTTAGAAAGCACAGTGACTCCTGGAACGATTCAGCGGCCTTCACAGCTCACAGTCCCACCCAGGCTGGGATAGGGAGACAGATTTTCCATGGCGACTGCAGCATTCCACGTTTCTTCGGGGGGGGGGGGGGGGGGGGGGGGGGGGGTATTCGTTTCAGCCTCACTTGTTTTGGGGACAGACAGAGATGATTTCTTCTCTGTCTTAAAGTTCTGCTGGTCCTCAACCCCTCTAAATCCACTAATGGCGTAATTAATCTATTCCAATCCGTGCTGATTCATCCACTCGCTCCTTGATCGAATCCATCTTTTGTGCCAATACATGAATCTCAGCCAAAGTTCCAAGCTTACGACTCATCTCACCAATTATATGAGTTTTTGCGTTCACAGCGCGGTGCAATCCATCCCTGAGCTCCGGGATTGAGCCAGTATTCCTCGACAGCTCATTAATTTTCCGGTAAGCCATGTAACCTCCCAGGCCAAAAAGCAGGAAACCTGACACCAACACCACAAATATCCAGACGTCTTCAGAATCCTCTACAGACAGTTGGGAGAGGCAGATAAGGATCCACTGTTTCCAGGAGTCAATGACATGCCCAGCTGGCTCTGTCCCAGAGGGGCACCCGGGAGCCCCTTCTCCCGTTCTCATCGTTGAGAAAATTTTGTCAATCGCGTTGACAGACCAGCTGACAGGTCCATTTTTTATAATTTCCAGTTCCAGAAAAAATGTAGAAGCGCCGTTCACCCAAAGACAGACAAAGAGCCTTGGGGATAAGATAGGGAGGAGAGGAGGAAAAAAGCGTCTGTACTCTCCAAGAGCCGGAAGAAGAGCAGGGATCAGTGTTAGGCAAGTTACTTTACTAAAGTAATTAGTTACTAATTACTTATTCAAAAAGTAACCGAGTTAGTAACAGCGTTACAATATCAAAAAAGTAACTAAATACCAAAAAAGATTGCGCTATTTTTTCACAAATATATGCAAGAAGATTTGGATCACCTCTAAATAGAACTACTACAGTTACTATAAATTACTATAATACTAAAATATATTACTAAATAGACTTGAACATAATCAAATGTATCGCCAAATGTTTATTATAAAACTGAATAATTTAGAGAAATAGTACAAACTACAAACAGGAAACATGACACTCATCTAAACTATTTGAGATATAAAACAAAACACCTGTCTAATCAACTTTAAAATTACAAATAAAGCTATTTCTACATTTTAACAGTAAAACAGGAGAGGGCTTATATGAGATTGCCTCATGGGATTACATTGCTCACAACTGATGTAGAAAACCACTTTGTTCCAGGGCATAAATTATATTCCACATGGAGTTTCTTGCATTTTATCTCTTTAAAGAGAAATAATGTTGGTAGTTTTTGTCTGAACTAAGCATAGTTGCATGATTTTATTAGCATTTCTACTCATATTCTAGCATTTCTTTACATAAAAATCCTTAAAAATTCCACTAGATTGGGCACTAATCTGACAAAGGACTTGAATTTGCAAACTTGGGTCAGAAACATGGAAGTGTTGACATTAGGAGGAAGACACAGTTTGTTCTAGTAGCACCTGATTATGACCCATTCTGACAGAATCAGTGTTGCAGCGGGACTAAGGAAAGGATCTGGAGCATTCCAGTTGTACAACATGAGAACGATGTAGGAAGATCGTAGAAGGAATAAATGAGTAAATGAACTGGTGAACGGATTTTTCTTATATGGGAAGTCCCCTTATATGGTCACGTTTTCCTCATTCCTCACTCGCCATGAAGCGCTTGTTGCTGGACGTAAACACCTGCCCGTTTAGCTCTCGATCAGACGACAGCTTCAACACAACTTGCTGCTGAATTATAACAACATGCTGCACTTTCTTATCAGTAAGGGAAGCGGAGTTGTAATATTGGAGAAAGCAAATGATTTGATTACACGTTACTAATAAAAAAACGTTTTTGGTTTTTTTTCTTTCGACATCAATAATTCTTAGGACGTTTTTACCTTTAAGAGTATTTTTTGTTTCTTACCTTCAGTTCCTGGTTTGACCCAAGCTCTTAGATCTAGGTTGTGTGGCGTGTTCATCAATGCAGTGGCAGCATCCTCCAGACCCAAAGCTTTGGCCCTGCGAGCTTTTGAAAGCTTGCTGCCTTTCTTATAAGGAGCATTCTGCAACCAAAAAAACATAATCAATGCTCCAGCTCCTTTTACAATGTATGTGCTCCTCTAGACTCACACTTGCAGACTACAATCTAAATCCCTTTAAGATATTTCATAACTGAATACAAAATAAAAGAAATTTGCTTTGTAGATGGTTTATGTTAACAGTTTTCCAAAACAGCTGTGAAGCAACTGCAGCTTGTTCAGAATGCTGCTGCTAAAGTCTTAACAAGAACTAAGAGAACAGAGCACATCACTCCTGTTCTTAGATCCCTACACTGGTTACCAGAGTAAACTACAGAATAGATTTCAAAGTGCTCCTACTAGTTTATAATACATGACCGATCTAATTCCTGTATATCCACCCAATAGGGCTCTGAGATCCCTTGGAAACAATCAGCTGGTAAAACCTCGGATCAGAACAAAACAAGGCGGGGATGCATTTAGTTACTATGCTGTTCACATATGGAATCAGCTTCCCCATGACCTCAGATGTGCCCCACCCCTAGAGTTGTTTAAATCAAAACTAAAAACCCTAATGTACTCATCAGCATTTTAAAGGCATTGTTTCTTATGTTTCATTATCTCCACTGCAACGTTGTCTTCTCCTTTAGCTCTAAACTATAATTCTATCTCTGTGTATTTTAATTTGTGTTTTTATGTTGCTTTCATATCATGTTCTTGCTAATTGTAAAGCACACTGAATTGCCCCTGTGTTTGAAATGTGCTCTATAAATAAAGCTGCCTTGCCTTTAGGTTGCCATTTATTTGGCACCACAATCTATAATTGACACTAATCAAATAAAAAATAACTGCTCAAACAAAGACACTGCTGCAATCTCACCCAATCTCCATTTACAATGTCTTTTTACTTTTAAGTCACGCTTTTGTTTCCTTGTGTGAATTTATATTTGTTGCCAACTAAAACAAAGTAGAACTCAAAAATGTATTTCTTTATCACTTTAAAGGGCGTCATCTGTATAAAATGTAACACCCTCGTCCATTTTTGTAAAAAAATAATAAAAACGTGGGTATATCTGAATTGAATGCAGTTTAAGTTTAGCTGTCCTTTTTGGGGTCAGCACTGAATCAGCAAGTGTTCACTCTAAACATAAAACAGGTGTGTTGCAACTTATTTTTTCCCCCCAAAAATATTATATTTTGGAATAATTTTTTTAGATAATAAAATGTGGATTCTGAAAACAAAACAGAAAAAATATATAAATAAATAAATAACAAATATCTGTGAATTACACAGAGTCGTTAAACTGATATTTTGGTAATAAATGCAACTCTGACCACATGATCCAGTTCATCAGCAGATCGACAGCTCCTGAGGCTGTTTTCTAACTCGGGTGTCAAAACACCGTCCTTCTTCAGGGTGCGAATCACAGATTGGGTCTTCTTAGCCACAGAACTGACACAAACAAATGAAACACTTATTTAAAAATGAGCAACAGAAATATACAGAGCCCTGCTTTGAGCATGTACATGACACAAGAATTTCCCTCGGGATAAATAAAGTTGTTCTTATCTTATCTTATATAAAATGCTGCTAATCCAAAACAGACACTAAACTTGACCACTACCGCCACCTAGTGGCCAATAAAAACAGCATCCTGAAAGTACTCACAGCACATCGTTCTTTTAATTCCAAAATGGATTGAATATATTTTTCCCTCAAAATTAAACTGATGATGGGAAAAATTTGGGTTTTTCTTTTAGATATTTGCTCTTTCAAAACAATAAAAACAACTGAGAAATCATATGTACATAAGTATTTACAGCTGTTTCCATGAAGCTCAAAATTATTATTAATAAAAACAATGGATTAGATTTAAATAACACGTTTCACGTCACCCAAAGCTCTTCCCATTATTCATGCACTCACTACTGTGTGATGGTAAACTACTTCGTAGCCACAGCCGCCCTGGGGCAGCCTGATCACGACAGATGAGGATTGATCTGGATCTGGCAACCCTCCAATTACCGAACAACCCACTCTACTTGCTGAGCTACTGTGGCCTCAGGTGCTTCCTGTTTCCACTGATCCTCATTGAGATGTTTCTGCAGCTTACCTGGAGTCCACCTGTGGTAAATTCAGTTGGTTGGACAAGATTTGGAAAAAATAAACACCTGTCTAAATAAGATCCCACAGCTGACAGTGCATGTGAAAGGAATCATCAGCAGACCTCAGAGACAGAAATGTCCCAAGGCACAAATCTGAGTAAGGTTACAGAAAAAATTTCTGCTGCTTTGAAGGTCCCAAGATATCAAAGGAATGTCTTAAGGATGCCTCTGTGAACGTCCCTGAGTGGCCCAGCCAGAGCCCAGACATGAATGATTATAGCACATTTCTGGAGCAATCCTAAAACGACTACGCCGACGTTTCTCATACAGCCTGATGACGTTTTGAGAGGTGCTGCAAAGAGAAACGAGTGAAACAACCCAAATATTGGTGTGCCGAGCTTGTGGTGTAATACTCAAAAAGGCTTGAGGCTGTAAATACTGCCAAAGATGCATCAACAAAGTACTGAGCAAAAGCTGTGAATACTTTCTGAATGCCCTGTACAATCGAAAACTGTTTAGGGTCAAATGTCCGTATCTGTAGTCACACGGTAGAAATATTGCTTACCACAACTCGTCATATACCATCTGGACATCTCGGACAGCATCAGCATCCAGGTGGTTTATCATCTCTTTACGGTAGCGAACGATGAAGGGAATCGTGTTTTCCTCATGGAGCAACGTAACGATATTCACACACACCCATTTATTTACACCTGTCATGGTGGAGAGCAGCTGAGGGGAATATCAGGAAAAGTCAGACAGACAGTAAAAACACATTATAAACAGAAAACATCATTTATTTATTAAAAGAAAATACTTATCACATTATTAAAGGCAGAATTGTGAATACAATCTCTTTTCTGCCTTAGTTCTTTCTAAGCATTATAATGATTAATACTGAATCCATACCTCTTTCAAGTCCCACAGCATACCAAGGTCATTCATCAGCGATAGTGCTTTGGGTCCTGGTAAAGCAGCACTCTGTTCCTTAAGGCAAGGCTCATCAAAACGGAAATCCTCCTCCTCAGCTTCCTCTTTTTTTACCTGAAGCCCAGCTTGTGACGACCCTTCACCTGCCCAGTTGTCGGTCTGGTTTGCTTCTGACACAATAAATGACACTCTCTGGGGGGGAAAACCTCTTTGTTAAGGAAGAGTCCAAAAGATCCAATCCAACAGAATCAATCCAGAAGCAGTCTAGCAATAATCTATACCAGTCAGACATACCTCCTCCTTCAATCTGATATTAGTGTCGTCCTTGTGAGCCTTCACTTCTTCTGACTCGGTCATCCTCATTCGTTTGTTTTCTTCAAAATCACACTCACTTATTTTCCTCTTTGTTGTAGCCGTTCCAGGTACAGCAGCGTTCTTGGGATTTCTAGAGACCGGGGGTTTTCCCTCTGCGGCAGGTTTCCGTGTTGCCCTTGGCTTGGGAACTCCAGATGCTTTATGGACTTTAGGTTCTTTGGGAACTTTTGGTTTGGCAGTCCTTGTGGCAGCTGGTTTCTTTACACCAGCTGCAGGGCCTCTGGCTCTCTTACTGGAAGTTTTTGGCTCTGGTGGCCTCCACTCCTCCATGTCCTCATCGCTACTCACTGCCTCAGAAAAAGAGCTGATGGAAAAGCAGATAAAAACATTGCTTTTGACAAGAAAATCGTTTTATGCTTTTCAATATTTTGAGTATAATAGAAAGCAATTCATGTCCTTGAACACAACTGTTAAACTAAAACAGTGTGGTTAAGAAAATGATTGCTATTAAAAAGAAACTGAACTCACCGCTCAGAGTCCATAGTTTCATTTTCCTCGTAGTTTGAGACTTTGGCAGTTGTTGCTCTGGGTCTTCGCATCATCTGTTAAAAAAGATGAAGGTTGGTTAGCATTAACGTTTAACCTACATAAATAAATGCCTACTGTCACTGTACGGTGAAACTGTACAATGAAATGATGAGTACGTCTCCTATGAGGTGCAATCTGAAAAAATTGTACAAGCACACGACTACGTGCAAAAGCAGTTGAAAATACCAGGCAGGTTATTTCAGGCATGTGGCACGAACAATGCAGTAAATGTGTTTATATTCAATTGACATAAGATGAAAACTATGTGGATGTATATTTGTACCTGCAGAGAGGAAGAAACTGTTATTGAGCCAGAAAGATTTTTGATTTGATGGATCTGAAACGTTTGCCAGAGTGTAACAGGTCTTTAGTTAGTGAGGATGGGAACGGTCCTTTGGGATGTCGTACAACTGTTAGCAGTGTCAGTGGTGGAGAAGAGTTTTTCAGAACTGTGTGATTGTCCGGAGGGCTTTGTTAGTCAGCAGGATACGTAGGGCCACCTCTGCAGCCTTTTTCCTGCTTCCGAGCGGCTCTATGTGCTGCCTGATACACGTCATAAGAAAAAGCCACAAAAGCATGGACAAATGGATACACTAGGAGAGGCTAGATGCTAAATTCACGCACACCGCCATTTGTGCCCCCCTCCAAAAAAAAAAGATTTATTTGCTTGTTTACGCCTAAATATTCATATTAATTAAGTCATAAAACATATACCTTCCAGAACATATATGAATTTGTCTCTTCAGCTAACAGAAGCTATCTTACCAAACTGAGGTTAGCCCGAGTTTCAAATTTGCCGCTTTGTCACGACGCTAACAATGTTCATAAGACAGGCATTAGACGTTTTCATTTAAGGCACCTCTTTTTTCGCACACTATGAAACCTTAAATGACAGTAATACCTTTAAAACGTTGTTTTTGATGGTATCATTCGTGTTCAGCCCGTTTGATTCGTAAACGGTGGGCAACTTCCGGCAACGTTTGGCGGTTAACCAATCAGAACACGCAAAACCCTTAAAGGGCCAGAACCTTTAGGAGCGTGAACATCGCCCCCTACTTTGATGTATGTGGTATGAAGATTGCTGTTTACTGGTTGACAAAATAAACTCAGGGCGGCCAACTCTCACACTGGAACTACACGTTGGTTCTGTTAAACTATATAGAAGAGAATACTGTAGCCTCCTTAGCTCAATGAAACAAAGAAAAAACATATCCTAAATTTTGTTTTTGTCCTCTTGGGAGAATTAAGAAGGAGGAGGTTGCAGTCAGGTACTTGTACATGAACCTGTACTTGTACCTGTAGCGCACTTTTTTTTTGAGTCAGTGGACTTCAGAGCGCTTTACGCTACAGGAAATCATTAATCCATTCACACACACTGATGGTGATGAGCTACATCGCTTCCACAGCTGCCCTCGGGCACACTCACAGAAGCAACAGCAGAGCTCTCTAACAATATTTTTCTCTTATTTAGATAAAAACACAATTAAGACTGCATTTTTGTTGGTGTTGATCAGTGGCGGTTCTACATCGAATTACTCCCCGGGCGAGGCCCCCTTTGAGCACCCCCCCCCCCACCACCACCACCACCACCACCACCACACCACCCCACCTGCATGAACACATGCATGTTTTCTACAAACAGGCATGTTTTATTAGAACGACTATTGAACATTCATTTTTCTAAGTTGCACATATTTACATTAATTACTATGAAGTTGTCAGAATGTAAAGCACTATACATTATATACTGTATCAAAATATATAGAATCAAATATACAAAAACAAACAATAACTAAATTTTAAGAATATATGAACATAATAGATAATAAATATTCTAAATAGCAAAAATATTTCACACATAACAAACTAAAGATCATCACTACAGCATTGCACTTAGAACAGAAAACACAAACTAAAATTAAAACCTAACCTTGATGCAACATCATCAATAATGTCATCACATGAAATCTGCTCCCCCTACTGAGTGATTGATACTAATCAGAGCCAGGTTAGTGAGCCGCCCCTGAAACATAGGTGACCTCAGGTATGACTTGATCAAGTTTTGAAAAGCTCCTCTCAGCTTGAGCCACAGTGACTGGCAGAGCAGTCCAAAAGTTGGGGTAGATCTCCAATAGATCTCATGATCCATAATATTTTAGAATTGCCTCTGAAATTGTAATTTAAACTGTCATAAAAATAACTGTAGACTACCAAAAATGCCTACTTTTACAGAACAAATCATGTAAAAAATAATCAGTGCAGCCATCTGCAATAAATAAACAGGATAGTTAGTGGTGACTGGGGTGTTTTCTTCTGCTTGTAGAGTGGTTTCATTTATTATTATGTGAACATGATCAACATGTTTGTTGTTGTTCAGGCAGGCCACGGGCTGCAGTGAGCATTTAACAAATCCTAGTTTGAATCAGTAAAAAACGATTCAAGGACTTTTTTCAAACCATTTGAATATTCGTTTAAATATTTCAGCCCTATTAGCTCTGTTAGCAATTAGTTGACCGCATTTAACCGTTAAAATCCCAGTTAACTGGTTCAAAAAATTGAAAACATGCATCATGAGAGCTACATACCTTTATCTTTCTGCTCTTTTTTCTTTTTTCCCCCCTGAATCGGGCACCTGGTGGTTTTAGCCTTTTTATGTTCATCTCTTCTGTTTGGCTCCTGACTCAGTAAGTTTCCTTTAGTCAGGACTAAACAATTTGACCTTGATGGGGGGGTGACCACAAAATCGTTTTGTTTTTCCTTTTTTTATTCGGCCATTTCACACAATTCAGAGAAACCTGAAAGAATGATAGGCCTGTGTTTATGATATTATGAATGAAATATGGAAGAACGTTAAGATGTGATTGACTTTAACCATGTTAATACAGTTGATTCAGCCCCTGCACGCTCATTTCATCTGGGAAAGACGCAGAGGTGAATTCCCCCGCCGCACCCCTCCCCTTCCTGTTCTTCATAGACACACGGTGCACGTGAACGTTCTCAGTCAGCAGGAGCGCCTGCAACTGCAGGGGGCGCCAACTTGCTGTTTCCAATCCAGACACTGTCATATGACAGATAATAGAAAACCTCGGTGCGGCGCAGATTTCCTTTTTTTTTTTTTACTCCGCGCTTGTGCGCCCCTTTTGTGTCATGAAAAAATGCCGCCCCGGGCAACTGCCCTGTCTGCCCGTGCCTAAAACCGCTACTGGTGTTGATGCAGGTTTTGCTTTTTCTATAATGTCACAAAAAAGTAAATCCTAATCTTTGTTTTTGTCCTTTTGCCAATATCAGTATTACAGACAAGAAGTAACTACAGGAATCCTTTATAAAATTATTTATACCTGTATTACAATGGTACTAATGGAATTGCAGCATTTGTTACAGAACTTTTTGGTTCGCCACCCACAATAAAATGTCAAAAAAGTAGAGCAAAATTTGTTAGCCAGTAAAAAAAGAACCCACAGGAGGAAATGCACTTTTGGTGTACACACAAGTTGTTCAACTAAAGTCATATAAAGTAAATCCAATATTTTCCCTGCTGCTGCTGGTGGCCCCTTCTGGGGCGACGGTGGCACAGGTTGTAGGATCGAGCCCTGCCCAGTCTGTCACTGTTGTGTCCTTGGGCAAGACCACTCCGCCTTGCCTGCTGGTGGTGGACGGAAAGACTGGTGGCGCCTGTGCACGTCAGACTCCTCTCTGTCAGTGTGCCCCAGGGCAGTTGGGGCTACAAGCTCATCACCACCAGGGTGTGAATGTGTGTGTGAAGGCATGAATGTGTTGTAAAGCGCCTTTGGGGGGTTCTAGGATGCTAGAAGGCGCTATATAAATTACAGGCCATTTAACATTTACAGGCCCCTTCTATTCATCATTTACCTTCTCCCATTAGGATACATTTTTGAGAAATACAACATGAATTTTCATTGTTATGCAGATGACACCCAGCTCTACCTCTCTACCAAACCCTTCACTTCCACCTTCCTCCCTTACCCTCTGTCTTCATTCTTGGTTCAATTCCAACTTCCTCAAACTGAACAGTTCTAAAACTGATGTCGTCCTGGTAGGCACACCTCATATTCTCTCAAAATCTAACAGTTTCCCCATCCCTGCTGACAATTCAACAGTTGTTCCCTCTTCTCATGTTAAGAGCCTGGGTGTCATCCTCGACAGCACACGTTCTTTTTAATCTCACATCAAAAATATGACCCGGTCTGCATACTTTCATTTGGGTAACATCTCCCGTCTCTGTCCATCACTTACTCATCACACTACCGTTATCCTCGTCCACAGCCTCATCACATCCATGTAAGCCTGTTTAAATTTGACAATAAAGCATTTTACTTGATTTTATTTAACCAGGAAGATCTTTTTGAGATTAAATGACCAATTTTTCAAGGGAGACCCAGTCAAGATAGGCAGCAACAAGGACCAAAACAAGGTTACAGTTACATTAAATTTAAATGAAACGGATGTCAGCCTCAAAGACTTTGAGTTTTAGTAGAAAAGCACTTTAACTTTCTCTGTGGTCCTGGTGTGTCCCAAACCAGTGGTGCTGAGTAGACAAAAGCTCTTTGCCAACTTCAGTTTGTGCAAATGGAACAGAAAGCAACAAGTGATCTTTCACACGAAGAGGATCAACCAGCACTTCTTGTTTCAAGAAGAGAACAGATAAAGGAAGGCAACAGAAAGGATTGTCCAGTGGCGGCTGGTTAAAAATGTCTTCGGGGGGCTGTGTGTGAAATATTTCTCATCCTAGTCCATAATAAGTATTAAAATGAACAGTTGAAAAATGACTATAATTCCAAAACAACTATTAATTTCCCTCATCCAAAGGAGCAGTGTTACAGAAAGTCAGTTGTCAAATTTGCAGATAAAGTTGACTATAATTATTCTCAAATAAATACACAAACCTACAGGGTTAGCCTGCAACTGCAGTGAGTTCTGTTTCAACAAATCATGCATTAGCACCTCAAAGCACTATACTCGTGTTGGCCAGTAGATAGCAGTAACACAAATTAGATGTGCTGTTTTACAACAACATAATCCCATTAAATGATAACAAAAAAACACAGATTACAGCAATGGCTAAGATTTCAACTGGATACTAGACCAGGGGTTCCAAAATTGGGAGTCGCACAATTTTGTCTTTGCTGAGGTTGTGAGATTTGCAACATTTTATTTGTAAAAATGACATTTATACATGAACACATTATCAAATATCCTTACACACATTTTAGAATCAAGTAAATAAACTGTCCAAAATGTATCTCCTATCATCCTGTTGTAAATTCAAAATGACATCACTGCACCTAAAATCTAAGCAGTGAGTGATTAGAATGTTGTTGTTTTTGTTAAAAAGAGGAACATTGTTTAGTTTGATCATTTTTAAACAAGAATATAACTTTTTCTTCCATCATACTATAAAAACAGAGTTCATCATACATCAGTGATTAAAGAAGGCCCCATTTCTAAAAGCTGTTTATTCACAAGAGCAATGCTTTCCTGACTCAGTTTCAAAATGTTAATGTCTTTTATAAAATATTCTAATAACTACAAAAATATTTACAACGGTGTGAATACTATGAAAATATATGAAACATGACAATAAGCCTATGTAACAGAGATGAAAATGTGAATTTCACCAAAAGTGATGTGCAGTGATTGTTTGTTTTTGGAGCCGCCTACTGGTGGTTAGGCGCAACTGCATGCAACGGGTCCTTCAGGCGCATTCATGGCCCCTCCCACCAAAGCAGTAATGAAAGCTGGTGGAGGTAGGTGTACTGTGAAGCCGCTCTGCACTTAAAGTCATTTTAACCTTTAATTAATATATCAATAGGACTTGTTACAGATATTTAAGTGTTGTTAGAGCATATTTTGAAAAAGACCGTTGTATGCAGTTGCAGCGCACACACACTGATGTATTATTGTGTGCTTGTTTTTACATCAGATCCTGCCAGTAAAAAGCTCTGAAGGACAGTCCTGTGTCTGTGGCCTGATTGTATGTGTGCGGTGATTTGAGGCAACTCCAATAACCCTGGACGGACAAGAAGGAAGCCGTCACACTGGTGCCGTGACTCCCGGATTGCTGAGCAGCTTGATGCGGTTCACCGGAGGTTACTGTGTCGTCTACCTGCAAGCTACCTCTTCACTTCAAGACCTCCACAATTGGGTCACAAGGTTTATGAACTAAGGGAAACAGTAGTTCTATTTCTAATTACCACTGGATTTTAATTGAGTGTGTTTTATTTCTGCTTTATCTTAACATGGCAAAGAGATTTGAACCAAGTGGTAAAACTGTGAACAGTCACCCCTCTTTTGGGAGAGGTAGAGGTGTATTGGGACTTACTTTTCAGCCCGGCTGTGCTGTTGGGTTTGATTTGGGTGCATCACCTATATTACCTGCGAGTAGTAGTAAACCCCAGGGATTAGCTCGGGATCCAGATGAGACACCTACTGGTCAGATGTTATTTGGGGGCCCGAGTCACTCAACACCTGTTCTTGGTAATGACTTACACCAAATAAGTGACATGATTTATCAGTTAGGTTCACAGATTGGGGAATCCATTGCAAATAAACTGTTATCTTCTGGTGTTGCTGGGGGAAAAGAAGCCTGTGGTACCTGTCAGAAACAGGACAGCGCCAATGTTGAGGACGCTTCTGTCTTAGATGGTCAAAGGTTTAATGTCATTGTAAAATCAGAAACCTCGCCTGCAGTTTTCAAAGGTGACAATTCTGACAAGTACACTGTTACTGAGTGGGTTGAAATGATGAGAGGTTACCTTAGACGGCAGAACTATGATGTTTCTATGCAAAAAGAGGAAATTATGGGGAAGTTGATGGGTAGAGCCAGAGATGTAGTTAAGATTGGCCTTAGAAGTAATCCTGCCTTAAATGCTACATCCTCCCCAGATGTAATTTATAACATGCTGATACAGTACTTCAGTAACACATCCTCCTGTCTGCCTCTACAAGATTTCTACTCCACACTGCCACTCCAGAAAGAGGATGCTGTTGATTACTGGATTCGCCTTAATAAGGCTGCAGACATGGCTGAGGAAGGTCTGAAGCGTCAAGGGAAGCGCATTGAGGATATTGGTAGTGAAATTGCTAAAATGTTTGTAAAGCACTGCCCTGATACAAAACTAGCTTCAGTGTTTAAGTACAAACAGATTCATGAGTGGACCCCCAAAGACATTCAGGAGAGGCTAGATGAGCACCAAAGAGAGCGATTGTCCAGTATTAAAACACCAATGCACAAACCATCTGCAGCCCAATTACTATGTTTTGAGACAAACGTTGAGCCCAGAGTCTCCAGTAATGTACATATGCCTGATGGTGTTCTGCTCCATCAGGTTGTGCAACCAACCACTGAAGCTCCTTTATCCTATGCACCTGCGATGGTGCAGAACCAGCAGTTCCAAGGTGATTCAGATACTCCAGCTGCACAGACATGTTTTCCTTCCCTCCAGCCTATGAAGCAGCAGAGTAAATGCACAGAAGTGCAATGCCAGTTCCAGTCTCCAGCTTCTGCCCCACTCAGTCAGCCACAAAAGGGTGCCATGCTTGGTGACATAGTGTCAATGCTCAGGGAGCTTCTCACCAAAGTTCAGCCTAGTGGTCAGCCCTCATCTGCTCGTCGTGGGCGCACAAAGAGCCGGGCCAGATCTGTTATGAACTGTCGGGTGTGCAACGATGACAAACATACAACAGAAACCCACTGCCGTTCATACCGACTCTGTTTCACATGTTTCAGCCCAGACCACACGAGATGGTCCTGCCCAACCAATACTTCCCCTACAGAAAATATTCAGGGAAACTAGGTGACCTATGTCTGGAGGGAGGTCACATGGGTCAAGGTAAAATCTCCCACACATTTGATGCTGCTGAATTGTACCAAAATATACAGAGACTGAATGAATCAGAAAATGTTATTGTTCAGGACACACAAAAGGTCAAAAAGAGTGACAGCTTGTTTTATATGCATGTTAAAGTCGATGGCAAAGTGACTCTTGATGCCATGCTGGACAGTGGTTCGATGGCATGCTCACTGAGTGAAGTAGCCCTGCAGTCGCTAATTAATGCGGGTGTTGTCATCTCTCATCAGGAGGGTACTGATGTTGTGTTTGTGGGATGTGGTGGTGCCAGAGTGAAACCAACTTCAATAATAGATCTGGAGATGGAGATCTATGGATGCAAGCTATTGGTCCCCACCTTTGTTGTAAATAACCAACAGGCTGATCTGCTCGTGGGCTCCAATGTCATCAGGCATCTGTTACACCAGCTAAAGAATGACTCCTCCTATTGGGAATCTATTTCCACACCAAACCTAGATCACCCTGAGCTTGAGGAGTTCCTCTCTCTGCTTGCTGGCCTGGATCGTCGTTCTGGTGAGGATGTCCCAGACAAAATCGGAACTGTGAGATGTAACACAGCTGTCACTTTGGAGGCTGGAACTGAATATCTTTTATGGGGCAAACTTCCCAAGGATACAAGGTTATCACCTGGCTTGACTGTGATGTCTGAACCCACAACTTCCCACTCTGCTCCCAGAGGCATATTGGTGGCAAGAGCGTTGACACAACTCTGGGGAGACAGGTTTGACCCTCTCAAGATCCTAAATGCTTCCAGTTGTCCTGTAACCATTCGTAGAAATGCTAAACTGGCTTATGTCTACACCTGTCTTGCTACGGAGGACTTGGTTATGCAAGATGTAACATGCTCATATCAAGCTACCACTGAAAAAGGCACTGTTGATTCTACAGCGGAAAACAATGACTGTGTGCAGGAGAGACTGAAAAGTGTTGGTCTGGGTGATCTGGACCTGCAGTCTTGTGACGTGTCAGATGGTTGGCGGAGAAAGCTGGCTGACCTTGTGATCAGCTATGAGGACGTGTTCTCCCGCCACCACTTAGACTGCGGAGAGGCAAAAGGGTTTGTGCACAGGATTCGACTCACTGATGAGAGACCCTTTCGGTTGCCCTATTGCCGTGTGCCGCCTGCTGAATACCAGAAGCTTTGTCAAGTCCTAAATGAAATGGAGGAGAAGGAAATAATCTGCAAATCCACCAGTGAGTTTGCCTCACCCCTCGTCCTAGTTTGGAAGAAGAATGGTGACTTGCGGATCTGCACAGATTTCAGATGGCTCAACAGGCGAACACTGAAGGATGCCCATCCCTTACCACATCAAGCAGACTGCTTAGCTGCTTTGGGAGGGAACACATTCTTCTGCTCAATGGACCTCACATCTGGTTTTTACAACATGCCACTACACAAGGATGACCGAAAATACTCTGCCTTTACAACACCCATGGGATTGTACGAATACAACAGGCTCCCCCAGGGACTGTGCAACAGCCCAGCTAGTTTCATGAGGATGATGATGTCCATATTTGGTGACCAGAACTTTCTCAGTCTATTGTGCTACCTTGATGATTTGCTGGTGTTTGGCCCCTCTGAAGAGGTGACTTTCAAGAGGTTGGAGATGGTGTTTGGCCGCCTGCGGTTCCACAACCTGAAGCTTGCTCCCAAGAAATGTTGGCTAATGAGAAGATCTGTGAAGTTTCTTGGACACATAATCAATGAGTCTGGTGTATCCACAGATCCCGCTAAAGTTGAGTCCATCAGTAACATGTCAACTGCAGATCTCATGGAACCAGATGGCGTCACCCCTTCCCCATCTCGTGTTCGCTCGTTTCTAGGCATGATTAACTACTACCAGCATTTCATCCCCAACTATTCCTCTGTAGCCAGGCCACTCTTTAATCTGCTTGCTGGTGCAAAACAGAAACGCAAGTTGAAGATACCCACCAAGCGTAAGCTTGTGCTTCGCAAATTGACTAAAGCTGACTGGACAGATGAACACCATTCCGCATTCATGGAGCTTAAAGCAGCTTTGGTCAACTCAGTAATTCTGGCCCACCCAGACTTCACTCGCCCATTTGTTCTGTTTACAGATGCCTCATTGGATGGTTTGGGTGCAGTCCTATCACAGGTTCAGGAAGGTGAGAGTGTGGCCCGGCCAGTGGCATTTGCAAGCAAGTCTCTCACACGTGCTCAAAGAAAGTATCCAGCCCATCGCCTTGAGTTTTTGGCACTCAAATGGTCGGTGTGTGACAAATTCAGCCATTGGCTGAAAGGACATATGTTCACAGTGTGGACGGATAACAACCCACTCACGCACATCCTCACCAAGCCACATTTGGATGCCTGTGAACAGCGATGGGTGGCAAAGCTGGCCTCTTACTCCTTTGACATTAAATATATCCCTGGCTCAAAGAATTTGGTGGCGGATGCCTTAAGTCGCGAACCATTTATTAAGTCGACTGTAGTAAGGAGGCTGTTGCAAAGACCGCACAGCCAGCTCCTTAATGAGGCCCTCCCTGTCTCAGTTGGCTCAGTCCAGGAGGCTTTTAGGCAGTCGAACGCCAAGGACCAGCACTCCAGCATGTCACAACTCCCTAACAGCACAAAGTTTCAGTCCTTCACAAAAGATGATGTCCATGCTATTCTCGAAACACAAAGTGCATGGGAATCTGCTGCTAGGCTACGAGCTGTTAACACCCTCGAACACCTACCTCAGCTAATCCTTCCAGTTCAGGATGACCTACCTGTCTTTTCAGAAACCGAGTTGCGTGAGAAACAACAAAACGACCCTGTCCTATCAAGGGTGTTGTACTATGTTGCCCGTGGCCGTCGCCCATCCAGAAGAGAGAAACCCAAAGAGCAAGCCATGGTCGCCAGGTACCTCAAACACTGGGAAAAGTTACAATGTCCAATGGAATCCTGTACAGACTTTCTAAAAACCCAGTAACCAACAAGAGACGTCACCAATTTGTAGTTCCTGATTCTCTAAAGGCTGAGGTTCTCAAGGGGATTCATGACAGTGCTGGTCATCAAGGGCAGTTTAGGAGCTTGGCTATTGCTCGTCAGAGGTTCTTCTGGCCCCACATTGACCGTGATGTTAAAGACTATGTTCGCCAGTGTCCCCGGTGTGTTATTGGCAAATCCCCTGATCCAGAAGGTCGAGCACCTCTTGAAAGTATCAAAACATCTTCACCGTTGGAGGTCGTGTGCATTGATTTTTGGACTGCAGAGGACTCCAATAACAAATCTGTTGACGTGTTGGTTGTGACCGACCATTTCACAGGACTTGCACAGGCCTTTCCTTGTCGTGACCAATCTGCAAAGCAGGTGGCGAGGCAGCTTTGGGACAAATTTTTCTGTATATACGGGTTTCCTGAAAGGATACATTCAGACCAGGGTCCCTCCTTTGAGAGTCAGCTCATAAGGGAACTGTTGGAAGTTGCAGGTGTGAGGAAATCCCATACAACCCCGTACCACCCGATGGGCAATGGTAGCGCAGAACGCTTCAACAGAACACTGGGAAACATGATAAGAGTTCTCCCACCTGATGCAAAACAGAACTGGCCAAAACACCTTCAGACATTAACCTTCATGTACAATTGCACAGTCAACGAGACTACAGGCTATGCCCCTTTTTATTTGATGTATGGAAGAGTGCCACGCCTCCCAGTTGATGTGCTTTTTAAGAACATTCTTAGAGATCCTGAACTGTGTGGCTATGACAAGTATGTGCTATCCCTGACAAAAGATCTCCAGGACGCCATGGCCATAGCTCTAAGTCATGCCGACAGGGAACAGGAACGGCAGGCCTGCCTCTACAACCGCCGCACAAAAGGAAAACCTATTGGTGTCGGAGACCGTGTCCTAGTCTCGAACAAACGGGAGAGAGGGAAGCGTAAAACTGCTGACCGCTGGGAGTCTACAGTGTTTACTGTCGTGGGCATGAATCCTACAACCCACACATATCAGATACAGCATCCCAACACTGGTCAGGTCAGAGTTGTGCATCGTAACCTCTTGATGCTTGTGAATTTCTTGCCCTTTGATACAGCCAGTCAGTCTGTCGACTCTTCTGCCCTTTTACCTTATGGATCTGATGTTACTACTGCATCAGATACACCGGAACCGGTTGTTGAAAAGAATGATTCAAGAATCAGAACCCAAGAGTGGGTCAGCTCCTTACCTGATGCATCCCGTAATGCTGCTCACATGAATGACTCCGTCAGCGAGATGGTCTCTGCAGTGGAGGGAGACGAGGGGCTTCTGTTGTCCCCTAGTGTGACGGGCTATGACCCTTATCCCTTGCTAGTTCCCTCTGCTGATAGACAGAGTGTTCTCTCACACACTTCACTGGTTGCTCAGTCTGCTATTTGCACTGACTCAGTCCACACAGTCAGAACCCGTGTTGGTAAGACAGTCAAGCCTGTCAATAGGCTGATTCAGGTGATGACCCACATGGCTATTAGTGACGATGCTAGTCAGCTTATGGACAGTTTCTAATTCAGTTTTTCAAATGTTTCAGTAGAGGCATGTATAATAATATGCCCTTTTCTAAACAAGTTGTATCTTGTTCTTTGTTCTGTGTTTTGTGTTTTATAATAGATATATCACCATAACTTAGTACTAGTCCTGGTTTAGGGGCTTCTTTTTGTTTTACACGTGGGTTATGTAGGATGTAGGCTGCATCCTGCTTCCAGGAGCTGGTAGGGAATAGGGCGCCATTTCCTTGCCACTTCATCCTTTATAGAGGATACTGTTTAGGTTGAACTGTGTACACCCATGTTGAGTAATGTGAGGTTTTGTGTCATGGTGATGGTATTTGCACTTTAATAATTTTGGCTGAAATTCAGCAGGGGTAGGTGTAACAGAGATGAAAATGTGAATTTCACCAAAAGTGATGTGCAGTGATTGTTTGTTTTTGAAGCCGCCTACTGGTGGTTAGGCGCAACTGCATGCAACGGGTCCTTCAGGCGCATTCACGGCCCCTCCCACCAAAGCAGTAATGAAAGCTGGTGGAGGTAGGTGTACTGTGAAGCCGCTCTGCACTTAAAGTCATTTTAACCTTTAATTAATATATCAATAGGACTTGTTACAGATATTTAAGTGTTGTTAGAGCATATTTTGAAAAAGACCGTTGTATGCAGTTGCAGCGCACACACTATGATGTATTATTGTGTGCTTGTTTTTACATCAGATCCTGCCAGTAAAAAGCTCTGAAGGACAGTCCTGTGTCTGTGGCCTGATTTTATGTGTGCGGTGATTTGAGGCAACTCCAATAACCCTGGACGGACAAGAAGAAGCCGTCACACCTATACATAATTAAGTTGTTAGGCTTTGCCTAGTAACCGATGAGTCATCACAAGCAACCAATGAAATTATTGGACTGAGAACAAAAAAAATCAAGAAGCAGGTTGCTCAGAAGTGGGTTTTTCCAATCCAGGTTGTTTAAGTTCGCTCTCACTGACTTGATTCAATCAAGCTTCTGAAACAAGGTATGGGATCTTTTTCAGTCTGTGAGTCTCCTGACTGAATACGACTATTCTATGTTTTGAACAGTGTTTTTACTTAGCCATGTGTGTGTTTACAGGTTTTGTGTTTGAGTGAAGATGTCAGACCCTGAGTCCCCAAACCAACCTCTGGTTGGAGCTTCTGACCAGCAAACAGCTGTCAATGTGGGGGAACCAGCTCAGGGGTAATCAGGAAGTCTCTGCTGCATTTTATTTAGCTTTGTTACTGGATGGGTTTGAATGTTAACTTGTGTAAAAGTTGAAGTTTTGTGACATTTCTCTGGTCAAAGAGAAGGAAAAGTTTGGGTTAGTATGTAGGAAATCTGCTGAGAAATAACACAAAGAGCACTGATAAAAATTGAATTATACATGTTCTTTTAATGTGTGATAAAACTAGTTTAGTGACAATAAAAGAGGAAGTACATTTCCTCTGATCATTTTTTTACTTAAGTAAATACAATCAGCCATTGTGCACGTTTGTCGAGCTCTGTTGACTAACTTGCCAAAGTTTTGATGACATAATCACATGGATTAACAAAAATAATAAGCTGGGTAAGTGAAAATGTCTCTGTTAATATAACTAAAAATTAAATGGTGGTAAGTCAAACATTTTGAGCTGACTTGATGAGCAGTTTTAATTAAACTGGAATCTAAATCTACGACTAGAATTCATTAAGAAATTTAAATTGTGAAAACTTGAAGTTTTCAGTATCAGAATAAAAACATTTTGTCGTAATTTGTTGCCTCAAACTATTTGAGTTCTGGTAATTCATTTGGGTTTACAGTGTACTTCTCATGTTGTTAGTAGTATTTTATTTTAAATATGAGTGAAACAAAGTGTGGGGAAAAAACTACTTTTTTCAAAGCAACAATTGATTTGTATTGATTTTATTAAAAATATTTTGGTATCTCTGATCAGCAAATAAAGTAATTTATCATATTGATTACTATAAGGATAATAGAGCACAGACAAAAAAGTAATTTCTTGAAATTTAATAATAAATAAATGAAAGTAAACTTTAACATATTATAAATATAACAATTTTACATGTTTGATTTTGGCCCTCTATTATGTTGAATCCATTCCACAGTTTTCATTGGTACACTCAATCCATCCACTCAATCCAAATGTGTTTCACACATTTGTCCTTTACCAGAATGTTTCATCTATCTTGTAATTTCCATTTTGTATTTTGTAATTTGTATTTTGTAATTTGAATTTCTTTTATTGTTGATTTATTCAATATATTTACATACAACTGTACAATGTTCAGCGCTTTGGGCTTCCTGACAGGGTTGCGGAAGGCGCTTTATAAATAAAGCTTTGATTGATTGATTTTATAAAAAATAAATAATATAAACAAGAAATTGTATGCAGAAGAAACAAGGGCTATAGACATATTTATATGAATATTTTTACTGACAAAAATGATACGCTGGTGTTTTTTAAATATATACATAAATGTTCATGAAGGGCATCTACTTTAGTTTCAGGTGACATTTGTAGTACTACTGTAGTGACACAGTTCCTGTTTTAAACTAAAACTTCCTCAACTTCTCAATAATCTAGAAATTTTTATGAATTCCCCTTTACTTTCCCTCTTGCTGGTGACTTCACAGTGGTTAATATGAATCAACAGATTATTTTTGTTTGTCAAATTCTTCCCGTTTTCTCTGTCATTCATCACAGCTCCTCCCGGGCCTACAAGGTGGCAGGACTGACTCTTTTGGCCTGCGTGCTGATCGTGGGTCAGTCAGCGATCGCCTACTTCCTGTTCAGCCAGAGTGGTGATATTAAAAGCCTGCAGGACCAAAACAACAAAATGAACACCGAGTTGACGAAGCCCAGATCTGGTGAGGAGGTTATGTTAGGATGTATAATAACATCATTTCTGGCTTTGAGCTGAATGTTTTTTCCTAAAATTATGAAATTAATTACTTGAGCAGCAAACCAATAACATGAACAAATTAAATCAGACCAAATTAAAACACAAAAAAATCAATCATTACTTTTTTCCCCTTTTTTTTCTTGCTCACGAAGTACAGCTGCATGCATTACATTTAAGTGTCTTTTGGGTTTTGCTCTTATTTCAGTTTGGTTCTTACTTTGGTTACGCTTGTGCATCAAAACTAGTTTTCTTAGATTAGAAAAAACAATTTAAGTATTTATTTTTTGGGTTTTTTTTGTATTTGTTTGCAGGTTCAATGCCCGTGCAGATGCATGTGCCCATGAGCAATATGCACCTGGTGTTTGATGACACCATGGAGGGGGTAAAACAGTACACCATAATACTTTTTCAGCAATTATTGATTCAAACATGATTTATTTTCTTGACAAATTTTTAATTAAAATGAAGGAAACACAGAGATTCCTGTTGGTACTGCATTTTATTTGTTTTAAAAAATGAATATTCGAAAGAAAAGATGATGTTCTTATAAGATAAATACAAATTATTTATTTATTTATTTTTTTGTATTACAGGAAGAATCAACTTCAGGAAAAACACGTATGTTCAGATTTTGTTTGTATGTTAAAGGGGCATTATGGAAGTTTGACAGTGAAAATTTACAAAACAGTCTAATGTCTCAATCATGATGGAAGGATGATTACTTTGAAACATATTTCATTCTCAGCTGCCTGGGGGTGGGGGTGGGGGTGGGGGATTTGACAGTCTTACTCATTTTCAAAGGGCCAAAGAGGGATGTAATTTTTGTTTACAATCTGTCCCGCCTTGAAACTTTATGGTTCCAGAGCCTATCATGCTTGAGCCTGCTGAGTTTTCAAGTCTACGCCAGTGAAACGCTGCGGCGCTAGCATTTGTAACTCCAAAGAGCAGCAGTAGGGAGCCTAACCCCGGCTTTCCACAGGAGCCGTCAGCAGCACGTTACTGCAGCAGCATGTCATAGCTGCTGATAGGAACCGCTGTGGTCAACAGAACCTTTTCCACTGGAGCCGTCAGCAGCGCGAGTCGGCCGCGTCTCAGGAGCAGCATGTCGCGGCCTTTACGCGCCGGCTCTATTTTCTACGCGCAACGCCTCTGAAACGAGTAAAGTTCGACATTTTTGGGGAAGGAAAGACAGGAAATCGGACGCGGAAATGGAGAGAAGCTCCCGAGATTTTCAGAATAAAGAAACGTACTGCCTTCCGGTTGCTTTACTTTAAAAAAGGTTACTAAATGTGCGTCCCCGTGAGAAGTTATCACCTAGCTAGCGGTCTCCTTTGTTTTTCAGGTCCGTATTGGCGGTTATAAAACGGACAGAACATAAAACACAAACCATGTTGTAGTTTTCTCCTGCTTGTTGTTGTGTTTACTGACGAAGTCACTCGTGTGACTTCGTGCTCTGTCGGTGACAGCTGCTCCCCTGCTGCTTCGCGTCTCGTGGGAAGGGCCAAGCAGCAGCTTACGCGAGCAAGACGTGCTGCTGCAGTAACGTGCTGCTGACGGCTCCTGTGGAAACCCGGGGTTAGTCACTTCCACATCATGGGTCCCCGGAAGAACGAAAAAATGAATGCAAGTCATTGGGGCTAAAAAGGCTATTTTCTAATTCCGCTTGTTTTGTGCCATGGATTTCACATATGATGTCCGTGAATTTTAAAGATGCATTTTGATACCAAGAATGCACTTATTTTTGAACAGGGGGCAACGATATTTTAGGCTTTGTGTGAAAATAAGTCCAGGACTACAAATGCGCTTCTCAAAAGTGATGTCATCAAACCAGACAGGTAGAAAACTGAGGGAAAATGGATTAAGTTCAGCAGACTTCCCACAGGAGGAAAGAACCACCATTAATCTGGTCATTTGGTAAGAAGCAGCTACTTTGGGGAAAGAAGATTATGTGGTGACGTCATGTACGCTACGTGCTGATTTCTAGTTTGGAGTCATGCTATTTACAAACTTTTAATAAAGTTCAAAGTACGTGACTGGCGTGGTCGAAACACCCATCATTACTTTTCATTTAAATTGCAGTACAACATGTGTGCGATCCAGGGCGTAAGGCAAAGCGGATTAGAAACTAGCAATCGCGTAACTGATGGTTGCTCAAAGCAAACTCGTTTGTTTTGAAACATGGACTGCAGTACCCAAATTTGACCACAGGATGTTGTTCTTACTTTATGCACCTTTAATTATTCCTCATTCTATAACAAATCCAGCTATGATTACAAGTCAAACATCACATCTTTATTTTCTTTGAGCCCTCAGGGACCAATAATCTTGCTGTCTATTGTGGCATTGCCTCTTTTTGCATTTGTATGACTTGATGGTTTGAGTGTGTGTTTTTTTTTATAGCTGCACCACTGACCAACTGTCAGCTCGAAGCTGCTGGCATGAAGGCCATGCAGGTGCCGGGATTCTTCCCCAGATGTGACACGAATGGTCTCTACAACAGCCAGCAGTGCTTTCAAGCACTGTGTTGGTGCGTGAACCCAGAAACCGGGATTCAGATCCCTGGATCTGCACGTGAAGGACTAGTCATGTGCAACACATCCGCCCCCGCTGGTGAGACCAATCGTTGTCCAAATAAATGACTGTTAGCAATGGATTTTTAGGCATTTAAAAGATTGTTATTTAAATTTGTGTTATTTATTATGAATGTAATGAGTTATGTCTAACTGATAATAAATGTAACTTTCAATCACTAACATAAGGATGATTTCAAAAACACAATGAAAGCATAAACATAATTTTTTGCAGGAAGGATGGTTGATACTACTGATGATGCTGTGGTGAGTAAACAGAATTGGTTGTTTCTGTACCAAATTGAGCAGCTTGGAATAATTTATTAATTCTGAAACTAAATCTTATCCCTTTTAATCAACATTTTTACTTTTGTGTTTCACAGGAAATTCTCCCCGACTGATTTTCTTCCAGAAAGCATCAGTTTACTTCCTGTCTCGCTGCTTTACTGACACATAATTACAATATTTACTAGATTTAGCTAAAGAGGCTTACTGTATATCCAATTAACCAATCATTGGCTTTTTTCTATTTTACTACCTTTTTGCAAGTGTTTTTGACACCTGTATAAACATGTGCAGCTTAAAGCTTGTTTTTGTTATTTTATTGAAATTTTGTCAGAATTAGGTCATTTAAATATCTAAAGTGTAAAATCTGTAGGACAAATCAAGTGAACACATCCTTGGGACAAAATCATCACTCAAGGATATTTAAGACAGAGACATAAATACAAATTTTCCCATTTATTTTTAAGAACCAGAAATTAATCTATTACAGACGGTTTTGGTGGTTTATTATAAGAGTGGAATTTTCAACCAATGTAGAGAAACAAAACCAAAACAAGCCAGAAAACAAAAACTGAAAAATACAGAACAATGATTGTCGAGGCACTTTTTTTTTCTGTTCCAGTTTTCATACAGTACAAATATATTTCTGCTGCACCTTTAAAACCGTTATATACTTTTACGGCTTATTTACCTGCAACCGACCCATCTGTTTACATAGAAACTGCCAATTCTGATGGCAGCAACACAGAGAACCAGTGAGTCTTTCCTACAGCTCTATCTGAAGAATACACTTTATTTTTAGACAAATGTAAATGAAAACATCACATCAATTATATTTTCTGCAGTATATTTTTGAAAATCTAATAAGTTTGAATCTTAAATATTTGAAGTGCTAAAAGTCTGTTTTTAAAAGCATCTAAATTTTCAACATATTTTTAATTACCGGTACATCAAACAATAAAAGTTCACTTACAACTTATATGATTTTTTTATATAAAGTTTTTATGGACACGCTTATGCTAATTAAATTCGGCTTTTCTTTTCCAATCAACAGCAGGTGGTGGTCCTCTCAATTTCCCAAATTAATTTATAATTTCACTAGTCTCATGTGTAGTATCAGTGATTAGATGTTTGAGTGTACACACGCGAGTCGAACACAACATTTTAGGTAACAAATTCCTCACCAACAACATTTGACACGTCAGATAAAGAAACTATTTTGTAACAGCTTTGGATCTGTACAAGTGCAAAAGATCAAAAACTTTCCAGCATAGGCAGCCCAGTCTTATCAGGAAGCGGCTATTGCACATAAATGGCATGAGATGATATCACATGCAAACTATTTTAGGCACTCTGAAATAATAATATCCAGAAAACACAAAAATCCCTGCTTAAAATCTCAGAAGCAATAAAACAATTTTAACTTGAGATATTTTAGCTTTCACACGCTTTGTTCAAAAGGAGATGGTGGATCATAAAGAAAAGTTGGATAACATTTAAGAGAATAATTGTCTCTGGTTTAAAGTTTTTTCAAAGTAAAACCAAATCTGTAAAGTATAACAAAAACGTACCTGCAAATGTAGAAACACGCAAATGAACAATTACACTAATCTAGGTTTTGACCGTTTTATAGAAAAATGATTCACCTTTGATTAATAATTTCCTTCTGTCGCATAACCACTGGCTCAGATAGTGTCAACACTGTAACTGTAAAGCCCTGTCATGCTAAAAGGTAAAGGTTATCAATTGAAATCATTATTACAAGTCATATTTTCTGCACACAACTATGTTTGAATTATATTATGAAATTACACTCTCTGCATTCTTGTACTAAATCTGTCTTTCCCTAGTTTGACAGAATCAAGTAAAAATATCAATTAGCTGACAAATTAGTCTCTCTGTCCTGGTTTTAACTCTTTTATCGAATAACTGTTCCCCACATGTAGCTGCACTGGCACCATCTTGTTTCTTTTCTCTACCATTTCCACTTTCTGCTCATTTTTGTCCTCCTTTCAGGTTGCGGATGTAATCCTTGATCGTCTTTTCAATATCCGGAACAGCGTAGGTTTGCGCTGCATAAATCCCTGTGCACGTTCCTATTGCAACCCCCATCAATGCTGAGGAACGAAGCCTTGCAACAACGTAACCGGCCAGAAATCCCTTCAGGAAAGGAGAAGCCAGCAGACTGCCTCCCTAGGAAAAGAGAAAGATCAGATTAGTTATGCTCGTTGATACGTCAACAGATATTTGGGATGTCAATCTTCAAGTTCAAAAGAACGTCTAAAACTCTGAAGTTTCATTGGCCAAGCCAGGCCCAATCTAAAAAGCTGCTGCAAATAACTAAGAGGCTTGGAGGAAAAAGGCATCACGGTGTTATTTTAATGGCTGAGCCTTACAGGAGGAACCCCAGCTTGGATCTCATCTTCTACTCGCTTCTGGATGTCCTCCAGTTGGTCCTTTAGCTCCACCAGGTCTTTGAGCTGATTCAAAGTACTCTACACACACACACACACACACACACACACACACACACACACACACACACACACACACACACACACACACACACACACGGGTTTTCTTAAGTGGCAGAAAATAACTCATTTTCATATCAAACCAACACACCACGAAGTTTGAGACGTAAGCTTATTATTAAAATGCAACAAAGGAAACAGATAATAGACATGCGCATTTTACTAGATTATGAGTGTTATCTAAAATAACTAGGAAGGAAAGCTGATACGATGAATAAACCATCAGTTTTTATACAACCAGACTGTTTTTAAATAACATTTTGTCAACTCATTAGTAATAAAGCATCGTCGTAACATTTCCGAATAGACAATGTGTTACGCTCAGAAATGCGACTGCTATCCTAAAGCTAACAGCTATACGAGGACGTCACCGGGCTTTATGAGCAAAATGTTATTTGAACTTTTTAAATTACCATGTTTTGCATTGAAAAGTGGGATTGTAAGAGAAACGGACATACCTTGTCTTTTGACATGGTTCGGGTTTCACTAAAGAGAAAAATTGTGTTTCTCGTTTGTTTTCTTCTTCTTCTTCTTCTTCTTCTTCTTCTTCTTCTTCTTCTTCTTCTTCAGTTTTATGGTGGTTGGCACGTAACGTTAAGATGAAATACCGCCATCTAACGGAGTGGAGTGCCGACAGGGAACCCAAATACCACAAAATACCCAAATAATTGAAGTAAGGAGCAGAAATAGTAATATCAATAGTAAACAGCTAAAATAACCAAATGCATAAATAAATGCTGCTGTTGCCTCTTTTCACTTATGAGGCAGCTGGCAAACAATTTGCGAATGTCACCACCACCATGTGGAAAGTCCTGGGTGTCGCTCAAAAACCTGTTAAATAAATAAACAAACAAACAAATAAATACTACCAAGCCACTATTTTTGCTATAAGAAATGCAGTTTGAATCACATGCAACACATGTTTCAGGTAACACACTAACAACCTGTTTATTGGGTCCAAAACGCTAACATTCAAAGATCAAATGAAAAACGTGTCCCCTTGTGAACAAAGCACAACATTGATTACCGACAGACATCATACAAAACAATCTTTATCTCAATTCAAAAAGTGATCAAGAAAAAACTAAGACTTCCAATGCTACCATGCCAGAACAAATATAAAACAAATTAGCATCTCTAAATATGGAATAAAAAAAAACAAAGAAATAACAAATTGCATGACACTTGTTTGATTAAAAATATTCAAAGAAAAAACAGTAATGGTATATTAAGAATTATCCCTTGAATAAGGTAAATACAGAACAAGTTAAACCAATTCAGTTGACTGTTGGCTGGGCCCTCGGCCCAATAACGGCCCACTCACGGAAAAATGACACAATATGGCTTTGGCCCAGGTCTGGCCCACACTCAGTGAGCCAGTACAGGTGAATGTTGGCATAACCCCAGGCCCATTATTAGCCCATATACAGAAAGTTGAGCTGGCTGAGTGTCCCCAGGCCAGCATTGGCCCACACACTGTAAAACCAAGACAATAAAACGCTAAATAAAAATAAATCACAAATACAAATTTGCTAAAAAGTCTTTGTATTTAACAAATAATAAATGCATTACAAACAAGTAAAATGCACTGAACTCAACACATGAAAACACTAACCTTAGTCAAAAATATAGAACCAAAAATTTACTGCTTAATGTCACTCAAACATATATATATATATATATATATATATATATATATATATATATATATATATATATATATATATATATATATATATAGTGAGCTTAAGAAGAATTTTCTTTTGCAAGAAACCGTCTCTTTCTCCCTCCCTCACGATCTGCTGCAAGCTGGAGCCACCTTTTCATTATTCCCTCCACCTGTGCATCAGCAGCCCCACCAACCAGCGGATTTCTCCGTACTATATGTACGTAGGAAATTGATTTACAACTACATGAAATAATTATGTGGTATTTACCAGCATATTGTACAGTTTAGGGTGGGGCGATGTTGTCTAAAATCAATATTACAGTATACTGAGGAGTTCAGATTGATAACGATGAATGGACGATAAATGAATGAATGCACAAAGACTAAGGTTGACCAGTAGATGGGGCTGTAGCAATATAATTGCTCCACAGCTGGTTTTATTAATGCTATTGTTCCCTCAGATCCGTTCATTGCTAATAATTTTTAAATTTCTATTATAAAAACTACAAACTAAGTACTAAAAACATTTAGTCGTTTGATTGATAAACCAACATAACTTAACAAATAGAAAAGTCAACCAAGCAAACAAACTATTTAGGACACTCATATTCTAATTCTGGATATTACAAGTGCATATTGTCACATTTGACTTGTCAGGTATTCTATAAAGCCTGGTGGTGCTGCATGTAGAGAAGGATGTGTTCACTTGATTTGGTGCTCAAGTCTTTCTGCAGTTTACATTTGTCTTTAGTTTTCGTCACATCGTCCTTACTGAATCCATGATGTGACCAAATAATTGATGAAGCAATTTTTTTAGCCCACTGATTATCGCTCACAGCTGCCCACTGTTAAAGGCAGAGTCCTGCTGCTTGGCAGCACCAAGCAGAGAGCATTTTAGACCCCCTCCTAAAGTATCTGGGACAACCTGCAGCTGGATCTTCTGTCCAGGAGCAGCCGTGCTCCTCAGCTTCTCTGCCGTCCTCAGGTGAGTCTATTGTGTTGCTAAATACTTGTGATGGTTAAAATAGTTTGACTTGTGTGAAAACAACATCATCTTTTTTTGCCATGACATTGATTTCATACATTTTCTCAGGTTTCTCATTAAGTTTATAGACCTAGAGCCACCAGAGGAGACGTGCTGCTCCTCCCGCCACTAACTGCTGCACCTGCTTGTTCATGTGAGGGACTTCTGCTCATATTAACAGAAGCAGTCATTCCACATTTGGTGTGAGCCTGATTAATGTCAAGATTTTTATCAGTAACTTTACTCTCATTTATTTGTGGAATGATGTATTCTTTAAGCATACATCTTTTAAGATCCTGGTTCTGGTCTACAGGGCCTTACATGGACAAGCACCATCTTACATTGGTGATCATCTTAGTCCCTACACCCCCAGCAGGTCCCTGAGGTCCAGTGATAAAGCCTACTGGTTGTGCGGCACCAGGCTAAAGACCAAAGGTGACAGATCATTTGCTGCTGTGGCCCCCAGACTCTGGACCTCTCTCCCCCTGAGCCTGAGATCAGTGGACTCAGTGGTCTCCTTTAAAAAGCAGCTGAAGACTCACTTGTTCAAGCTGGTTTTTGTATGACCTTCTTCACCACTCTCTCTTTATTCTGCTCTCCCCACCTATTCCACCTTCCTCAGGGTCCACTGATTTTCCTCTTTCCTATTCACTCTCTCGCTTTCTTAACATTTTTTCTTTTAAATCACAATTGCTTATTTTTGCTCATTTTAAATATATTTTTAAACATTTTCTAAATGCTTTTTCTATTTTAACATTTTTTTATTTTTTGTCTTTGTGAAGTGCCTCGTGATTTTTATCTTGAGAGGCGCTATAGAAATGATATTTTCTTCTTCTTCATACATCAGGTTATAATTTGTGCTGCAGTCCCACATTAGATATTTACACGTATGTTATAGTTATTCTTTATGTACATGTGGTTTAATTACAACAATAACAATAACAACTTATTGTTCATGCAAGTCATTTAGGTCACATGACTAAATTCCGGGCAGAGCAGAAGGTTTCTTCATGAATTAACTGCAAATATTTGGCTGTACCCGGTACATGACCTATATGACAGTATCATAGAATCAGTAGTCAGTACTACAGCTCACAGCTACCTGTTAACACACAGTGTCACACCCTGTCCTGTCTTCTCTTAGGTTTTAGTCTGTGTCTCCGTTAATTGCTCCCACCTGCCTCTTGTTTCCCAATCACCATAGCTCCCGTTCCTCGTGTATTTAAACCCCTTCTGTTCTGTGTTCCATGTTGTGTCATTGTTTTATTGTCCAGCGTGTCTCAGAATAAATCATCGCAAGAAGTCCTACCTATCTGCCTGTTTCCTCCCCGGTCTGGATCCTCGCCTTTCCTCGGCTTACTTCACCAGCACGCGTGACACAGTGACTGACCTCTCATGAGAATCATCGCGTTTCTTGACGTTTTCTCTGAAACACAAGAATATTTGACACAAAGACCCAGAAATGCCTGGAAAGAACGCTTCTAGTAAAAAAAAACTGTTTGAGATGTGCCTTCAAGATCCAGAGGTGGACTGCAATCTGAAAATAAATTTTGATTCTGACGGAGACGACCAAGAAAGCTCCGAAAACGATTTGCAAAAACCAGAAAAGACTTCTGGATCTGGAAAAGTCCAGCAGGACTCAGCTGCTTGTGAGAGACTCCAAAATATGGAAGAACTTTTGATGCAGGTGAGTGAACTCAAAAAACATCTGAGGATTGCAAACGAATCTCTCAGAACCGAGAAGGAAAACAGAACCAAAGCTGAGTCAGATTGTGCGTTTTACAAGAGAGAAATTAATGAATTAGAAGAAGGACTGGATTATTACCAGAGCAAATCAGAGACCTGTGAAGAAAAGATGAGAGCTTTAAATAGTCAACTTAAGAAAAAAGACGACTTATGTGAAGTTCTCCAGAAGCGTTTACAGCAGGAATCTCAAATCAGAGTCATCCAAAGACAGAGGAACCAGGAGAAAGACATAAGTAATGAGGACTTAAAGAAAGAAATCAATAAACTGGAAGAGAGACTGGGTTTCCATCAACGTGAGGCAGAAACCCAGCATCAAAGAATTATGAGTTTAGAAATTCAGCTGCAGATAAAGGAAGGTGTCTGTGCAGATCTCCAAAAGCGTTTGGAGGACGAGACCGAGCTCAGACGCCAGCTAGCAGATGAACAGAAGAACTGTTATTACAAAGATTTAAACAATGAACACTTCAAGAAGCAACTTGATGACTTGGAAACAGAAAACAAAGATCTTAGAAGCAAGATGGAGAATTTTAACTCCTTGAAAACAGAATCAGATAAGAAGGTGTCTGCACAGCTGGAGGTGTTTAAAAAGCAGCTGGAGGCGAAATCTCTCTGCGTAAAACTGGAAAAACGTTTTAACGAAGAACAGCAGCTGAGAGTCCAGTTGGAGAGGAAACAGCAGAATCAGAAAAAAGACACCAGTGAGGAGAGATTACTGATAGAAATCCATGAACTAGAGCAGGGACTGGATTATTATCAGCAGAGTGCAGACTTTACAGAATCAGCTGCAGAAACAGGAGCATCTCTGTGAAGATCTGCAGGAACGTTTAATTCAGCAGAGCCTGCAGTTACATCAAGAATTACAGAACAGTCACAAGAACGACTCAGTTCATCAGAATTTGGAAAAACAAATTAAAGATCTGCAGGAGAACAACACGAAACTCGTGCACAAGCTGCAGACTATGGAGCACAAAGAGACCAGCCTCCAAAGTATAATCAAAAACATTCAGCTGGAAAATCTCAAAATTATCGAGCATGAAGAAGAGCTAGAAGCCCTGAGACAGCAGCTCCGAGAGTGTCCCCACTCTGAGGTCCAGGCTGGTTCTGAAGGCAGTTCACCAGAACCAGAAACATCTGTGGAGAGTCTCGAGGCAGGTCCT